CCCCAGCAGAGGAAGTCTAGGCATATAGGCACCAACTCCTCACGGGTCTTCAGAGGGCTGTGTCCTGGCCGCAGCTTCAAGACCACACAGGCAACACTTGATGGAAGAGCAGAAGGTAGAACAAAGTCCCAGTATCAAGAAAGCCACACAGACAATGTAGGACCACGAGTCCCAACAGTGCAAAAAGCAAAGCACAGTTCAATGCTTCTCCTAGCAAGGCCTGCAGCCATGAGCTGCTCTCCATCCAGACTCAAGCTCTGCACGTTCTGAGAGTTTTTATCGCACACCATAGAGACATTATATGGTTCTTTCAATTTGACCAAGCCTCAAACCCCTGGTGCCAACAAATCTGGCTTTTCACAGTCACAGGACACCATGCTGTCTGTGCCTCCTGCTGAGATCAACCTCATCTCCCACCCCTGCAGGACACAAGAATTTTATTAACCTCCCTGGCGGTATTCCCGAGTGTAGCTCGGGGTAAAGTTTCAGCAAAACAAGCGGCAACCCCGAGCTACACTCGGGAATACCTTGCAGCGTTGCTCCGAGATCTCTCGATCACTTACCTTGTCCTGCGCTCCCACGATGTCCCTCCTGCAGTGTCCCCTGCAATGTCCTCTGGAGGATGCCGGCATCTGTCTTCTGGGGTCCGTCCCCTACGAGCGTCGGGACATACGGGGGACGGAACGGCGGGAAATTTGAAAATAACAAAAAATGACATTCACTAAATACACTAAAATCGCATAGTAAAACATTACTCTATCAAACCATTTCATATACATTTTTGTCCCGAGTGCTTTGTCCTGTGCCCTGCCTGCATTTTTACTGTTCTTTCTGCCTGGAAACTGAGAAATGTCCATGGCGTCCAAAAAGCGTCCCTTTAGGTGAAAAGCGGTTTTAGATCAGCTAGAGAACAGCGACAGTAAATCAGAACCACTTGCAGAATTGAGCGATAATGATTCGTGAGGAAATTTGTTATCAGACACTGAAAACGATTGTGTGACTTTGCTCAGTGATGTGCGAACTTGGCGCTCTATTTAAAATTTCAGTGTTTTTAATTTGATTATATTATTGAATTAAATGTATTATTATATTATTTTTTATGATTATTTAATAAATTTTAATTTATGATTTTGTGTTTCAAATTGTAACATACCGGGGATGTTTACTAGACTCTTGTTCAGACAGATTTCAGTGAGTTATTCCTAAATATAACAGGCCTACAATAAAAAAAATACATATTTCCGTGCAAAAAAAGTACCGCTTTGAGCACAGAAATATGGACATAATCAGACCGCTAGGGAGGTTAAGCAATCTGACTGCTTGACACGCTTGTTGATTTCAAAACACAAAAATAAAATATATCTGATCTCTGTCACAACTCCTCCTTTTCCAAAACATGTACCTGCAAGAGGCCTTAACAGGCCTTGTGCAAGTTACACGTAGCAGTTCTCAACCAGAACTATCTAAGTGTTTATATACATAACTACTTGTTATCTGAGGGCCAAGTGTGTATTGAAGCTTATTCCAGCAGGGCATCACATTGGGGTACAGAAGGTGTTGGCCTAGGCATACACTTGAGCCACTGGGGGGATAATTTGATCCACTACCATTACCTCTCCACCAAAGTGAAACTGTGGAGTGGGATACCCCCCTACATTTCTTGGGGCAATTAGCCTGCAGGTGCCCCCATTCTCTGCAACTATGCTCTTCTTGTATGTCTCCACCTGTGTTGCAAACCAAGGGATCCCCTCTAAACCTTGGGGCACTGGTGGATTGACATGAACCTTTACATAGTTGAGCGGGTAAAATCCTTGATAAATGTGTGTCCTGCATCTTGTCTGATTTTTTTCTCTTCTCCCAGAGAGTGGCTCTGGGTCACACTCCCTAAAAACTGACAATTAAGTTCTCCCAGGTCATTCCCCAGCAGAATGTCAGCAGGTAGTCCTGCCATTACCCCAATAGAACAAAGTTTCTCCCCAAAACCATAATCCAGGAGAACCACACCCTTGGCATGCGTTTCTTGGCACTCCCAGCTAGTTCAATAGAAAATCCAAGGCCTTTCTCAATTGCTGCCGGATTCACCACACAGAGATCAGCAATGGTCAGGAAGGTGCCTGTGTCCCAGAACCCATTACTTTTTTTCCATCTATGCAGACCTCCTGTACATTCTGCTGCCTTACCTCTGGTTAACTTGGGGTAAGTGGCTGTACTCCACAAGCTCTTAGAAGGGCGCTGGTTATTGCTGTAGACATTCACTTTGAGATGGTGAAAGGCGCTCTAATCATGGCACCGGCACTACACTAGGATCAATGCAAGTAGTTTTAGTCTGTTGAGGGTGGAAGTTCCTTGGGCATCTAGCCTGGGGATGGTGGGGTTGTCCATATCTGTAGCACAGTTGATGCAAGGGCAACCCAGAGGACTGGGGTTGGAGTGGCATTACCTCAGAAGCTGGGTACATGTCCACATAATGCGCAGTCTAGGAAAAGCTGGGCCGGAGAGTCTTTTTCTTAGTGGGGCATCTGGCCTGATAGTGACCGGTTTGTCCACAGCCAAAACAGCGTCTCTCTCTATAGTAGGCCTGGGGGCCCACTGTGGGGAGGCAAGATTGTCTGAAAATGTTAGCCAAGGGGGTGGCACTGCCTGGGGATTCCTCTGGCAGTGTAGAGGCATAGAGGACACAAATGCGGGGCTGGGAATCCTGGCAAATCTGGGGGCCTCGGCAGCTGTCAGCTTCCATTGAGGGTTGATCATGAGGGCCTCACCCGCTAAGGCCGCAGCTTCCTTCAGGTTTCCATTCACGCACCCACTGTTGGAGCTCAGGACACTTGAACAAGAACTGCTCTTTTAGGATTGCTTGAATAATCTGCTCAGGGGAGGCAGATTTCTCCCCCGCCAGCCATTGGCAACATGCTAAAGACATCTTGTGCGCAAACATTTTAAAAGAGATCTCTGGGAGTTTCCTTTCCGTGGTGGCCTCCTCTCCTAGAATGGCCATCTCTTCTTCATACCATATGACCCAAGGGCTCTGACTGCCTGTCCTGGGAAGTTCCTTCATGGTGTGTAGACTCTCATCAGCCATCTCGACGTTCTCATCCCGCTGCTGCCAACCAGTTGTGACAAATTAAGAGCGCAGAGAGAGAGCACATGGAGACAGATCACTCGGAACCCAACGGGGCGGGCGTTTATTGGGGAGTTTTTCAGGGTACAGACAATAGAACAGCTAGTCCACAGAACAACACAAGACACAACGATACAGAAGGATTCTCATGATAGCAATATGGGACAACAGGAGGCCGAAAGTCCACCGGGTTCAATAGGACAGAGCGGGGGTTACTGCAGGGGTTGGAGTCCATGGGCAAGGGTTTCGGGCAGAATCAGGCTAAGTCCAACACAGGGCAGAGGTCCAGTCACAACGGGGTTAATCCAATACACAGGATGCAGAACAGGGCAGAGAGAATTGAGTTCAATGCAGGGCAGAAATCTGGGCACAACGGGTTTAATCCAATACACAGGATGCAGATCTGGGCAGAGAGGGTTAAAGTCCACACAGGGCAAAGGTCCGGACACAACAGGATTAACCCAATACACCGGATGTATTTCCTGAGGGTTCCATACTTTCATCTACATATACAATATATTGCCCACAACTGAGTGGATGGATGTCATATAGTTTATTGTGGTTTGTTATTATTATTAGTTCCCTACAAGAATTTTAGTATAAATGGTAAATAAACATGTTTTATGACAGGTCCATGTCCGCTCCGCTTATGCAGAGTGGACGCGGACACAGCCCACTGTTCTTTATGGGCTGTCGGATGAAACGGACCGCCTGTCCGTTTCCATTTGATGGTCATCCGATCAGCCAAATGGATGGGGAACAGATCCCTATCTGTTTTTAGCAGATCAGATTGGATGCAGGCGAGTGTAAATGGACGCATGTCCGTTTACACCAGCCATTCCCTAGAGAGCAATGGAGGGTCCACTTGAAAAACAGACAGGCGGACCCAATCAGTCTGCCCGTGTAAAAGGGGCCAAACACATTATTATTATTATACAGTATTTATAAAGCGCCAATAGTTCGCTCAGCGCTGTACATTACAAAGGGGGACAGAACAATACCAATACAATGCAAAACATGAGGGAATTGAGGGCCCTGCTCTTTCGAGTTTACAATCTAGGAGGGAGGGGATGGTGGCACTGGAGGAGAAAGCTGTAGGGGATGGAGTGGTAGGAAGAGTGGAGGAGGTCAGCAAGTTAGCAGGGGGTGGGGTAGGCTTCCCTGAAGAGATGGGTTTTCAGGGTGCGCCTAAAGGAGAGGAGAGTAGGTGATAATCTGATGGGTTGGGGCAGGGAGTTCCAGAGGATGGGTGACACCCTGGTGAAGACCTGGAGGTGGGCGTGGGAGGAGAACACAGGAGTTCATTATCAAATACTGTATATTTCTATAACAGGCATTTTATTATTATTCACTACTTAGAGCAAATGGTGCCCAAGCTATGGCATGAGGGCAACAGGTGGCCCTTTGGTACTTACTGTAGAACCCTGAGACCCCACCAGGCAGTAGTCATATTCCCTGCCTAGGTGTTTACTCAGGAACGTTAAAAGGAAAAATATTCATAAAAATATTCCTCTGGATATAATTTATTTCTTTCAGTTATGGCATGTTTGTAGTCTTTGACAATCTCTTGTAGTATACCCACAGTCTCTGACAATATTCTGTAACATTGCAAATTCTGCACAATATGTGTGGCCCTTTGGTGAGGTCAGGGGACCTATAACAAACAGGTAGACCACCACAGTCTTAGAGCATCAGTTTAGGAGAGGTGAGAAAACAAAGTGGTATAAAACATATAGACCTTACAACCCCGGTCCTGCTCAGCGTTTATATTTTATTTGTATGTACAATCAGGAAATGTAAAGACGTAGATCAGAAACCCTTGCAGCAATTGGCTTTGTATTCAAAGTGATCCACTCAGAGAATTGTGTCCTTCATCACTCGCTCATAGAAGATCTAAGTGATGAACAGGCAGTGCAGGCTCAGGAGAGGCGTCATGTATCTGTCTCATGGAACTTTCTCTTCTTGTAACTTTGCACCAGGCTGGAGGCTGTGATCTGAGCCGCCTGCCCCCTTTCCCAGTTCTGAAAAGTGTTGAGACCCCTCTGTCCAGCCCGAAATAACATACGCTCAAGTTCATCCAGTTTGGCCACCAACCCAGAGGTGTCCTCATTGTAGGCGTTCTGGGAGGAGTCCATGATGCGACGGAAGCGCCCGACGAAAGTCTGAGAAGAGGGAAACATTAACTCACATTTTCAGCTTGTCATCTCACGCCTGTCCTTCCAAATCTTAGGCCCCCTGAACATTGCTGCCTGCAAACGCTTAGTTTTCAGACATACAGGTATTTTTTTTTTTTACTGAACTAAATGCAGCCCTGATCTGTGTGCAGTGTGTACACCTGACTGGTATCCTCTCTATGGGTGCAGCGTGTACACCTGACTGGTATCCTCCCTATGGGTGTAACATGTACACCTGACTGGTATCCTCTCTCTGGGTGCAGCGTGTACACCTGACTGGTATCCTCTCTCTGGGTGCAGCGTGTACACCTGACTGGTATCCTCTCTCTGGGTGCGGCGTGTACACCTGACTGGTATCCTCCCTATGGGTGTAACATGTACACCTGACTGGTATCCTCTCTCTGGGTGCAGCGTGTACACCTGACTGGTATCCTCTCTCTGGGTGCAGCGTGTACACCTGACTGGTATCCTCTCTATGGGTGTAACATGTACACCTGACTGGTATCCTCTCTCTGGGTGCAGCGTGTACACCTGACTGGTATCCTCTCTCTGGGTGCAGCGTGTACACCTGACTGGTATCCTCTCTCTGGGTGCAGCGTGTACACCTGACTGGTATCCTCTCTCTGGGTGCAGCGTGTACACCTGACTGGTATCCTCTCTCTGGGTGCAGCGTGTACACCTGACTGGTATCCTCTCTCTGGGTGCAGCGTGTACACCTGACTGGTATCCTCTCTCTGGGTGCAGCGTGTACACCTGACTGGTATCCTCCCTCTGGGTGTAACATGTACACCTGACTGGTATCCTCTCTATGGGTGCAGCATGTACACCTGACTGGTATCCTCTCTCTGGGTGTAGCATGCTCGCCTGACTGGTATCCTCTCTCTGGGTGCAGTGTGTACACCTGACTGGTATCCTCTCTCTGGATGCAGTATGCTCGCCTGACTGGTATCCTCTCTCTGGGTGCGGCGTGTACACCTGACTGGTATCCTCTCTCTGGGTGCAGCGTGTACACCTGACTGGTATCCTCTCTCTGGGTGCAGCGTGTACACCTGACTGGTTATCCTCTCTCTGGGTGCGGTGTGAACACCTGACTGGTATCCTCTCTCTGGGTGCGGCGTGTACACCTGTCTGGTATCCTCTCTCTGGGTGCAGCGTGTACACCTGACTGGTAAGCCTCTCTCTGGGTGCAGCGTGTACACCTGTCTGGTAAGCCTCTCTCTGGGTGCGGCGTGTACACCTGACTGGTATCCTCTCTCTGGGTGCAGCGTGTACACCTGACTGGTATCCTCTCTCTGGGTGCAGCGTGTACACCTGACTGGTATCCTCTCTCTGGGTGCAGCGTGTACACCTGACTGGTATCCTCTCTCTGGGTGCAGCGTGTACACCTGACTGGTATCCTCTCTCTGGGTGCAGCGTGTACACCTGTCTGGTAAGCCTCTCTCTGGGTGCGGCGTGTACACCTGACTGGTAAGCCTCTCTCTGGGTGCAGCGTGTACACCTGACTGGTATCCTCTCTCTGGGTGCAGGGTGTACACCTGACTGGTATCCTCTCTCTGGGTGCAGCGTGTACACCTGACTGGTATCCTCTCTCTGGGTGCAGCGTGTACACCTGACTGGTATCCTCTCTCTGGGTGCAGGGTGTACACCTGACTGGTATCCTCTCTGGGTGCAGGTGTACACCTGTCTGGTAAGCCTCTCTCTGGGTGCAGCGTGTACACCTGACTGGTATCCTCTCTCTGGGTGCAGCGTGTACACCTGACTGGTATCCTCTCTCTGGGTGCAGGGTGTACACCTGACTGGTATCCTCTCTCTGGGTGCAGCGTGTACACCTGACTGGTATATCTCTCTGGGTGCAGGGTGTACACCTGACTGGTATCCTCTCTGGGTGCAGGTGTACACCTGACTGGTTATCCTCTCTCTAGGCTGTATTCCATCACACGTGACCAATGTTCTTGCTGTGAGTTGTAGTGTAGTCAGCTGTTATCAGCAGGAGTGTGTTGGGTATATCCTATGTGAGTGAGGTTACCTGTAGCAGCGTCTGTGCGATCTCTGTGTTCTCTGACTATCGAAGTTGAGGAGTTGTGAGCCGAAGCTGTAGTAATGTGGCCCCATCTTGTGGAGGTCCACCACATTGGCGTCAGCACTGAACACCGTGCGCCAGCCCTCTCGGTAGATCTTCGGCAATTCCACAGAGACGATTCGCCGCTTGTTGTCGTACAGTCCCTTCACCAGCCACAGGGGGAGCTCCATCTTACTGCCCTGGGATGGGACAAAAAGACGGCACATTCTACAACATGGACACAATGTAACCAATCACCAGTGACCGGGGAACATGGACACAATGTAACCAATCACCAGTGACCGGGGAACATGGACACAATGTAACCAATCACCAGTGACCGGGGAACATGGACACAATGTAACCAATCACCAGTGGAGAGGGAACATGGATACCAATCATCAGTGAGAGCATTTCTCTGACCGGGGAACATGGACACAATGTAACCAATCACCACATAGTGGTGGGGTGATGGATGATGGAGGGGGGACATAGTGGGGTGTGGAGGGATGAGGAGGGGGGCACATAGTGGGGTGACAGACGAGGAGGGGGGCACATAGTGGGGTGACAGACGAGGAGGGGGCACATAGTGGGGTGACGGAGGATGCAGAGGGAGGCACATAGTGGGGTGACGGAGGATGCAGAGGGAGGCACATAGTGGGGTGACGGAGGATGCAGAGGGAGGCACATAGTGGGGTGAGGGGGCACGGAGGATGCATGAGAGGGAGGCACATTGTGGGGTGGATGCAGAGGGGGGCACATTGTGGGGTGACGGATGATGAGGGGGCACATTGTGGGGTGACGGATGATGAGGGGGCACATTGTGGGGTGACGGATGATGAGGGGGCACATTGTGGGGTGACGGATGATGAGGGGGCACATTGTGGGGTGACGGATGATGAGGGGCACATTGTGGGGTGACGGATGATGAGGGGGCACATTGTGGGGTGACGGATGATGATGAGGGGCACATTGTGGGGTGACGGATGATGATGACGGATGATGAGGGGGCACATTGTGGGGTGACGGATGATGAGGGGGCACATTGTGGGGTGACGGATGATGAGGGGCACATTGTGGGGGATGATGAGGGGGCCACATAGTGGGGTGAGGGCTGATAGGGGGGCACATTGTGGGGTGACGGCTGATAGGGGGGGCACATTGTGGGGTGACGGCTGATAGGGGGGGCACATTGTGGGGTGACGGATGATGAGGGGGCACATTGTGGGGTGACGGATGATGAGTGGGGCACATTGTGGGAAATTGGATAATTACTTGTGAGCCACTGGGGGTTATTTTCTGTATACAAACTATAATACCAATTGTTTGCGTGCATAAAAAGAAAAAAATTACTTAATTTGTGTACTTAAAAAATTGATTTGATATTAGATCGCAAGGTACTTCATACACCCTCTCTAGGTGTGTAAAATGTTAACCATATAATCCAATATTGTACCGCGCTCTAGTAGGTTCTACCTCTTGTGATATATTGAATACCTGTGTTTGCCACCAATTACCAATCAATTTCATCAAACAGAAATACTTAAATCCATAATTTTTGTGTAAATATAAAATTATTATTATTATTATTATTATACAGTATTTATAAAGCGCCGATAGTTCGCTCAGCGCTGTACATTACAAAGGGGGACAGAACATGTGACAGAACAATACCAATACAATGCAAAACATGAGGGGATCGAGGGCCCTGCACTTGGAGCTTACAATCTAGGAGGGAGGGGATGGTGGCACAGGAGGAGATAGCTGTGGGGGATGGAGTGGTAGGAAGAGTGGAGGAGGTCGGCAAGTTAGCAGGGGGTGGGGTAGGCTTCCCTGAAGAGATGGGTTTTCAGGGTGCGCCTAAAGGAGAGGAGAGTAGGTGATAATCTGATGGGTTGGGGCAGGGAGTTCCAGAGGATGGGTGACACCCTGGAGAAGTCCTGGAGGCGGGCATGGGAGGAGGAGACCAGGGAACTAGAGAGAAGGAGGTCTTGTGAGGAGCGGAGTGTGTGTGTTGGGTGGTACTTGGATATTAGGTCAGTGATGTAGTTCAGGGCAGTATGGTGGACAGCTTTGTACGTCAGTGTTAGGATTTTGAATTTGATCCGTTGCGCAATCGGAAGCCAGTGGAGGGATTGGCAGAGGGGGGTGGCGGAGATGGAGCGGTTGGAAAGGTGAATGAGTCTGGCAGCCGTATTCAGGATGGACTGAAGCGGGGATAGCCAGCGGTGAGGCAGGCCAGTGAGGAGGGAGTTGCAGTAGTCGAGTCGTGATATGATGAGGGAGTGGATGAGCTGTTTAGTGGTTTCTGGGGTTAGGAACGTGCGGATTTTGGCGATGTTGCGGAGGTGGAGTCTGCACGAGTTTGTTAAAGATTGGACTTGGGGCTGGAAGGATAGGTTGGAGTCCAGAATGACACCAAGTACTCTGACCTGCGGGGCGGGTTTGATGGTGGCGTTGTTGGACATGATGGAGAAGTCAATGGGGGGTGGTGAAATTAAATTTCTATGAATGTGGAAAAACAAAGAATAAAGTGGGAATGATAGTTCTCCTTTATATGAATAGAGATGGTATTATTCTGACTGGATTGTATTAAGGATCTGTGTCCACTGCGTGAACCTCTCTCTCCTCAGCTCAGCCTTCTCAGTCAATCTTTCTCCGCTGGCTGCTTGATTTAATCCTCCATATATGGGACATGAAAAAAGAAAAAGAAACATAGTGTCTTATCCGGGATTTCAGTTTGTTTAATGTGCTTTGATTTCTCTCTCACATTGTGAAAGATAAAGTAGCGCTTTACATAAAATGTATCCAAATCGTATTTTGGTCAGCCTTATAGGTGTGTCTGCCTTCAGTGTGTATACTCGCCATTCCTCTGTGGATGCGTGATGACGTCACCCCCGCCCCTCCCCTTTGTGGGGTGACGCTTGAGGAGGGGGCACATTGTGGGGGTGAGGGATGATGGGGGGCACATTGTGGGATGAGGGGGGCCACATAGTGGGGTGAGGGCTGATAGGGGGGGCACATTTGTGGGGTGACGGCTGAGGGGGGGGGGGGCACATTGTGGGGTGACGGCTGATGGGGAGGGGGGGCACATTGTGGGGTGACGGCTTGAAAAGGGGGGCACATTGTGGGGTGACGGATGAGGGGGGGGGCACATTGTAGGGTGACGGATGATGGGGGGGGCACATTGTGGGGTGATGGGTGATGAGGGGGGGCACATTGTGGGGTGACGGATGATGAGGGGGGGTGGCACATAGTGGGATGACGGATGATGAGGGGGGTACATTGTGGGGTGATGGATAGGAGTACAGACAATACCGCCCCCCTCCAGTGTCTGAGGTGATAGCCCCCCCCCCTTTATGGGTGGTAATATCGGGGTCTCTGACCTCGGGAATGTGCTCCGTGTCCCCTCCTTTGTCCAGGAAGCCCAGGCGGGCCAGTCCGCTCTCCAGACGGCACGGCAGCTTCTCCTGAGACATGAGAACATCTTCCAGGGACAGAAAATTCTCCTCCCGGCCCAACCCGGCCTCCACCGCACGGTACGACTCCCACATCGTACGACCGACCGACCAGGCGAATCTCCCGCCTTCCGCGTCACCATGGAGACGGGGCGGGACCTCCCCTCACTGACAGCCAGAGGAGGGACAGCGAGCGATCGCCACCTGTTGGACGCTACACTGCTACTACCACCGCCTCTGGATGTGTGCGCACCATAGAGAGCGACTGAACGCGGCTGTGCGCATCATCCCATCTCCTCCTGTGATTGCTATCTGTATTATTACTATTCTTATGATGCAGAGTGAGGACTGGGCTCTCCTTCCATTGTTAGTATGGTGTGTGAGATGCTGGGTGAGGGTTGGGAGGTGTGTGGGATGCTGGGTGAGGTGTTGGGCTCTCCTTCCATTGTTAGTATGGTGTGTGAGATGCTGGGTGAGGTGTTGGGCTCTCCTTCCATTGTTAGTATGGTGTGTGAGATGCTGGGTGAGGTGTTGGGCTCTCCTTCCATCTGCACGTGTGTGTATTGGCAGACTGTGACCTCACCATTCTATACACTTCCCCATAGAATCCACTTCAACCACACTACATGGCCACACCCTGCCATCACACCCCAGATCTCACATCATTTGTGTCTCTGGAGGTCCTCCTGTATCCTGGTCCCAGTCAGGGGTGGACTGACAACTCATGGGGCCCCCAGGCAATAGGGGATCATGGGGCCCCTGTGTCCTTGCCCAAACTCAAGCCTATGAAAAAGGTACCAGGGGCATCTCATGGGGGGCCCCCTACTGACCCCGGGCCCTCAGGCAGTGCCCGAGTTTTCCAAATAGTCAGTCCGCCCCTGGTCCCGATAATAGTATTTGGTCACATTCATCTGGACTTGCCCTCTAGAGGATTTACCCCCCTTCCTGACCAGGCCATTGTCTGCGTTAAAGTAACAGCACCGTAACTGACAATTGCGCGGTCATGCAACACTGCACCCAACTGAAATTTATGTCCTTTTTTCCCACAAATGGAGCTTTCTTTCGATGGTATTTGATCCCCTGTGCGATTTTTATTTTTTGTGCTATACAAAAATAATAAAACAAAATAAGACCGACAATTTTGAGAAAACTTTCTGCTATTAACCCCTTCCAGTCCGGACACTTTCACCCCCTTCCTGTCCAGGCCAATTTTCAGCTTTCAGCGCTATCACACTTTGAATGACAATTGCGCGGTCATGCAACAATGTACCCATATGAATTGTTTAGCATTTTTTGAAACAGATAAAGCTTTATTTTGGTGGTATTTACTCACCACTGGGATTTTTATTTTTTTTTGCTATGCAAATGAAAAAGTCCACAAATGTTGAAATAAAGTGTTTTTCTTATAAAATTTTGCAAATAAATAGTATTTCATCAAATCTTGGCCAACATTTATTCCGTTATCTTTTTAGTAAAAGGAAAAAATTAACCCAAATTAGTTTATAACCAAATTTAAATTTTTAAACTTTTTTTTACATTTTTCATATTATTATTTATGGTTTTTGTTTTTTGTTTTTACATACTGTCACCCTAGCAGTACAGTGTCACCATGGTGACACTGTACTACTTGTGGGGGTGATGAAGATTTTTTTTTTACACTGATTGCTTTTACACCCATAAAGGCTGTAAAAGCAATCATTTGGACACAATGTAACCAATCACCAGTAACCGGGGAACATGGACACAATGGGGTTTATTTACTAAAGCTGAAGAGTGCAAAGTCAGACTCCCTTCTGCATAGAAACCAATCAGCTTCTAACCTCAGCAATGAAACCTGGAAGCTGATTGGTTTCTATGCAGAAGGGAGTCTGACTTTGCACTCTCCAGCTTTAGTAAATAAACCCCAATGTAACCAATCACCAGTAACGCAGCACCGCAACTGACAATTGCACGGTCACCATGGTGACACTGTACTACTTGTGGGGGTGAAGATTTTTTTTTTTACACGGATTGCTTTTGCACCCATAATGGCTGTAAAAGCAATCATTTGGACACAATGTAACCAATTTCTCCTTCTCTTTGGCTGCATTCTTGCAGCCATTGAGAACTACTGAGTGAGCTGTGATTGATCACAGCTTGTCACATGGTACAAGGCTGTTGTGAATAGCCTTGTACCATGTGACCTCTGACAGATTTCACATGTAGTAAGCAATGATGTCAGAAGTGACATCTTGTTTGGCCAATCAGTGATCACATGATCAGGACCTCGCACAGAGGTCCCGTACGAGGATCGGTGTTCCACTGTGTCCGGAGGACACAGCGGGCACTGGATCGCGGTGCTGCACGTTCCCAGGGAGCGCGCACAAGCAGGGGGTGGGGAGGCCACTTATAAACAGCCACTCGATCCTGCACTGCCACCGTCTGGCCATTTATATACAATGGCCGGATGGGAAGTGGTTAAACATGTCCAGTCAAAAAAAAATTTAAAAAAATCTAATTTCGGCATAAATTTAAGCCAAAATGTATTCTGCTCCATGCCTTTGCTAAACAAATCCCAATACGTGTAAATTAATTGGTTTACGTGAAATTTATAGCATCTATAAATGGTGGTATACATACTGGGATTTTTTTTTTGTCATTAGTAATGTCGGCAATCACCGACTTAAAGCAGGACTGCAGTGGGCATTCTGACACTGGGGGGGGGGGACTGACTTGGTGTCCCTGACATCCCCAGTGACACCAATACAGTGATCAGTTCTAATAAAAAGCAATGACGCTGTACTAATGTCACTGGGCAGGAAGGGGTTAACATCTGGGGCGATCAAAGGGTTAACTGTGTGCTGTTTTACTATGGGGGCTGTTTAAGTGCTTTCCGCTGTAAGCACACTGCTTTGTATGGCTGTGCTATGCAGAACCATACAAAGCAGTGTGCAGGAGCTGACGGGAGAGATCTGTGTATAAACAGTACACGTCGGAGATACTCAGCGATCACTGGGTGCAGGCCAGTAATCACCAGCCGGTGATTGACAGCCAAGGCCGTGAATGGCAGGGCAGGTATGGCGTTCGCACCCCCTACCCAGAACTGCAAAATCATCTATAGATACGTGACTTTGCGCACCCGTGCCACCCTGTAGCAATACTTCTGCTATAGGGTGGAAGGGAAGCGGTTAATGTCGAAGATATTTTTAATTTTTCCCAGTTCTAATGGCAGGAAGATACACCAGACAACACATCCCAAAGACCCAACACCCAAACACAAGTGCAGTGACTTGACATACAGTCATGGCCAAAGATCTCGTCCCCCCTGCATGTCTGTCAGGTAATGCACCACTACGCCCAGGAAATTGTTGCAATTACAAATATTTCAGCATTCTCATGTTTATTTCTTTGGTTTTTATTGGAATGACACAAAAAAAGTGGAGAAACAAAAAGCCAAATCTGACACATTCCACGCAAAACCCTGAAAATTGTCTGGACAAAATTATTGGCACCTTCTCAAAATTGTAGGAAATAATTGCATTCCAAGTTTGTGATGCTCCTGGAATTTGTAATTAAACTCACCTGTATCAATTACCAGGTGCTGACAATATAGAAATCACACCGGCAACCAGTTGAAATGGTGAAAAATTGGCTCAACCTTTCTGTTGTGTGTCTCTGTGTGCCACATGGAGCACGGGGAAGAGAAAGAGCAGCAAAGAATTGTTTGAGGATTTGAGAACAAAAATTGTGGAAAAGCATGGACAATCTTAAGGTTACAAGTCCATCTCTAGAGAGCTTAATGTTTCTGTGTCCACTGTGTGCAGCATTGTCAAGAAGTTTACAGCCCATAGCAATGTAGCTAATCTCCCTGGACATGGATGAAAGAGAAAAATTGAACAAAGATTGCAGCAAAGGATTGTTTGAATGGTGGATAAAGAGCCTCGATCGACTTCCAGACAAATTCAAGCTGACCTTCATGCACAGGGTACAACTGTGTCGGCTCACATTACATGTTGCCATCTGAATGAAAAGGGACGCTATGGTAGGAGACCCAGGAGGACCCCGCTGCTGAGACAGAAACATAAAAAAAAGCCAGATTGGAGTTTGCCAAAACTTACTTCAGGAAGCCAAAATCCTTTTGGGAGAATATGCTGTGAATAGACGGAACAACATTACAGCTTTTTGGTAAAGCCCATCATTCTACTATATCAGAAAAAGCAATGAGGCCTTTAAAGAAAAGAATACAGTCCCTACAGTCAAACATGGCGGAGGTTCACTGATGTTTTGGGGTTGCTCCGCTGCTTCAGGCACTGGAAGTCTTGACCGTGTGCATGGCATTATATAATCTGAAGACTACTAAAGAATTCTGGGGTGCAATGTAGGGCCCAGTGTCAGAAAGTTGGGTCTCTGTCAGAGGTCATGGGTCTTACAGCAGGACAATGACCCAAAGCACACGTGTCAGGGACTGCGGGTCTCGCAGCAGCGCACAGGTCTGCACATACACAGATTGCCTAGGTGCACTAATGTGCAGGCACTAGGACCTGGGCGTCGGCAATTGCACCAATGACAGTGCAGGGCGCACTATTTAAACCGGCCAGACGGTGACTAGGTTGCCGCAAGGTCTAGTTCCTGTACCCGTGTTCTGAAGTGTGTTCCTGTTGCCGATCCTGCGTGTCCTGATTTGTGTTGACCTTCTCCTGCTCTGACCCCCGGCTCGTCCCTGACTACTCTCCTGCCTGTTGTATATTACTATTGGACCTCCCGTTGCTGAACCTTGGCTCGTGACCCGGCTGCTCTCTGTCTACTGTTTGGTACCTACCTGCCTCCACCGTTACCGACCTGGCTAGTCTGACTACGCTCATTCCTGACTGTCATCCATCCATCCCGCTCGGGACCTGGACTTGTCAGCCTCTTCACAGCAGGCTCACCCCCCCGGCACGTACCCTCGGCGGGACCCCTCTACCACAGTTGGGTGCACTCAGGGGTCACGACCTGGTTTCAGTCTCGCACCAAGTCCATCCCCACCATCAGGGGCTCTGGTGAAAAGGCAGACTGGGACTTAGACTCCGCGTCCTGGGGAATCCCATTCTGTGGATCACTAGAGATTCCGCCGGGCGGTGCCTGACAGCACGTCAACATTCACCCAGAAATAGTTTTCAGGCAAAGTGCTGGAGAGTACTGAACTGGCCACCAATGAGTCCAGATCTCAATCCCATTGAGCACCTGTGGAGAGATCTCAAAACAGCAGTTGGGAAACAGAACCCTTCCAGTCTGAGAGGCCTGGAGCAGTTGGCAAAACAAGCGTGGTCCAAGATTCCAGTAGAGAGGTGGAAGAAACTCACTGATGGTTACAGGAAGCGATTGATTTCAGTTATTTTTTTTTCCTAGGGGTGTGCTACCAAATATTACATTGAAGGTGCCAATAATTTTTTCCAGTCCATTTTTGGAGTTTTGGGTGGAATGTGTCAGATTTGGCTTTCTGTTTCTCAGCTTTTTTTTTGTGTCATACGAATACAACAAAAAAAAACATGAGAATTCCTAAACATTTGTAATTGCAACAATTTTCTGGACAAAATGATACATTATCTGACAGAGATGCTGGGTTGCCAATATGTTTGGCCATGACTGTATGCAATGCAGGGTGGGGAGGAATACATTGGAGAGACCTCAATGCTCACAGCTTCTATCCTGTTCTCAGACAATCAACATCTGCCTTGATGCATTCCATGATAATTGGAGGAAGATGTTTGTGGTAGCTGTGTGGGTATAAATGTTGGAGTAGATTCCCGACACCCATTAGAACTAAAGATGTGGCAAATCCAGATGAATATGACCAACTACTACTAGATACGTTGTTTCTTCACACAATAAATCACTAATCGAATTTTCCAAGATGGTTTCACCTCCATCAACTCATCTGATGATGCCTCCAACACAGAGTTGGGCCTAGGAGTAGACAGAAGAGGTGGCCGCTTTGAATGCTTCAGCAGAGGGGGGAACAAGAAAGGTAGGACCTGCAGCCTATACTGTTGAAGTATTTTACAGCACATCTTGGGGTAGGGGCTTAGGCTTTTTTTCCATTAGGTGGTAAAGGATCTTGTCCCAGCACTGTTCCACCATCTCAGGGAAATCATATGACAGTGTACAGTGTCTCTTCTGCTGTAAGTTACTTTGTAAGAAGAAAACTGTTCCTTGCTGTATATTGGTCACAATACTTCACACATCCGGCTTTGATAATTACAGAAGAACACACAGGATATACATAATGTGACAAAACATTTATTTAGATCATAACTCGTCCTCAGTTGGCCCGTAGGTGAACAGCAGAGAGCGAGCCCCTGGTGGATCCAGAAAAGACTTTACATCACATTGGCTGCCTTCAGCTGCTCCCAGGACCGGCGCTGCGTCTTCAGAGAGAGCTGCAGGTCAGATACAGACATGTTTAGTACTTGTTATCTGAAATATTGTGTGCGCTCAGGTTCAGGTCTTACACAATGGCTCATGAAGCACAGGTAGGTCTCCTATCCATCATACTACAGCATCAATTACCTCAGCAATCTCCACCTTCCTCTCCCATGCTCTGATCATTTTCTCCAGCTCCTCCTGTTCCATCTTCTCATGGACGTAGTTCAGGACATCTGGGACACGATAGTCACTCAGCTGTTTCCGGAGTTTTTTATTCAGACTTTCAGCCTTGGCCCGTTCCTGCAGATACAAGTGCAATCATGTGAACTTCTATAACTGCTACACATTCCTCAACCTAATTTACCTGATGACCCACTGCTGACACTCTAATCCACTGTGACAAAGGATCATTCCTTCATAAAGGAGAACATCTATGACTCCAGAACATTCCCGCAACTGAAGCCTCTCTGACAACCAATTGTTGCCCCTCTAATCCACTGTGACACTGGCCCATTCCTGCATAGAGGGAAACTTCTATAACCCAACCCTGAACATTCCTCAACTGAAGTCTGATGACCAACTGTTGTCCTTCTAATCCACTTTGACACTGGCCCATTCCTGCAGACATGATAACTTCTATAACTCAACCCAGAACATTCCTTAACTGAAGTCTCTGACAACCAGCAGCAGCCCCTCTAATCCACCGTAACACAGCCCAATCCTGCAGATGTGAAAACTTCTAAAACCTAACCCAGAATATCCCTCAACTGAATTCTCACTGATGACCAGCGGATGCTCCTCTAATTACCGCATTGAGGAGAATATCTATAACCCCAAAATATTCCTCAACAGAAGTCTCTCTGATGATCAAGTAACCAACTTTGACACCAGCCTGTTCCCTCATAAGGGACAACATCTATAGCCCAACCCAGGACATTACTCAACTGTAGTCTCTCTGAAAACCAACTGTTGCCCCTCTAATCTGCTGTGACACTGTTCTACTCCCTCATAGAGGAGAACTTCTATAACTCAACACAGAGCATTCCTCATCTGTAGTGTCCCCAATGACCAATTGCTGCTCCACAATTTCACTCTGTCACCGGCCCATTCCTGCATACAGGAGAACGTATTTAACCCAACCCAGAATTTTCCTTCACTGAGGTCTTGCCTATGACCAACTGCTGCCGTCTAATCCACTATGACAGCAGCCCATCCCTGCAGATACATAATCTTCTATAACAAACGCAGAACATTCCTTCAACTGAAGCATCTCTGGAGACCAACTGCTTCTCCTCTGATCCACTGTGACACTTGCCCAGTCCTGTAGATATGAGAACTTCAACAATCCAACCCATAATATTCTTCAACTGCAGTCTCTGAGAGCCAGCTGCTGTCCTTCTAACCCACTGTGACACCAGCCCATATCTGCAGATATGAGAAACTTCTATGTCCTTAACTCAAAACATTCCACAACTAAAATCTCTGAAGATCAACAACTGCCCCGCTAATTCACCATAACCCTGAACCCTCCACCCCATGGCAACATAACACTTTCCTCCACCCACAATGGAGGTAGGAACTCTCAAACTCTTCTGCAATGTACCTGCTCCACTTGCTGGGTTTCCTGCTCGATCCGTTGCAGCATGTCGTTCCTGGTTGAGATCTCTTTTCTTAGATAAGTGGACTCTGCTGTGGTGTGCTGAAGCTTCTTCTGTAAATAAAAGGAAAAGCTGGTATGGAGATGAACAGACCTCACAAGTGCCATGTATGACTGGCTTATTTCTGTATCATTACATATTGGCAGGAAAACGAGACCCCCAGAGACCCATCTCATCACATGACTTCCCAGGATCTCCTCTGAGCACTCACTCACTTTGTAGGAGTTGAGAACCTGTAATGTCTCTCCTGCAGTCAGCTTCAGCTGGAGAAGGTCCTGATTTCGCTCATCGATTCTCTCCAGAAATTGGGCATTTTCTATCTTCAGCTGCTGGAAATCCACCTCATTCAGAACCTCACCCATCTCCTCCTTCTGAAAGAGAGAATGTGTAATCTCAGGGTGACTTTACTGTAACACAAGGTGTTGCAGATCTAACAAGTTGTGAACAACAACAAGACTTAGAACATATTCTGTACAGTATATGGCCTCCGAAGTCACCAGGAGTACACACTGCCTTGTGAAATGCAGCCTATAAGCTCAGCTCCCTGGAATGTACATGGAAGTGAAAATTCACTGGAACCATGCAGACAAGAAAAAGAACAAACTGCGACAACAGGCCTCATCCACCTCACTAACAGCTCTGTATCCGCCGCCCCTCTCTGCCAATCCCTCCACTGGCTCCCAGTTGCCCAACAGATAAAATTCAAAACTCTAATAATGACATATAAAGCCATCCACAACACTTCCCCAATTTACATAACCAATCTCATCTCTAAATATCACCCAAACCGTACTCTTTGCTCCTTGCAAGACCTCTTACTCTCTACCTCCCTTATCTCCTCCTCCCATGCTCGTCTCCAAGATTTCTCCAGGGCGGCACCCATCCTCTAGAACTCTCTACCCCAACCTATCGGACGATCACCTACTCTACTTGCCTTTCGGTGATCACTGAAAACCTTTCTCTTCAGGGAAGCCTATCCCGCCCTCTGCTAATTCCGGAATCCTCTAATCTTCCAACAACTCCAACCCCCACAGTGACTACCTACTGTACCACTCACCCCTCCCTCCTAGATTGTAAGCTCCAAGGAGCAGGGCCCTCAAATCCCTCTTGTATTGAAGCTGTATTGTCTTCCACTGTAGTGTAAAGCGCTGCGCAAACCGTTGGCGCTATATAAATCCTGTATAATAATAATAATGTATAAAACTGCTTGTAAAAGACTACAGCCAGATGACTCCCCCCACTTCCAAACCTGTATCTGAAGTTTAATCTGCTTATATTTGGCCTTCCCTGATCCCCTGTCCCACCATCAACATAATAATGACAATTTTAAATAAAACCGTTCCGTTTTCATTACATACATTATTTTATACCCAGTGACCCAGACGTCATCACTGGGTATAAAATACTGTGTGCTTCTCTATGCAATGCAGGCAGATTATGGTGGGTGGTAGGGGCTGGCAGAGTGCTGTGAAAACATCACAGCACCTTGCCTAAGTACTTCTCTCAAAAACCCTCAGCTCTGATGAAAGTAGTGGGCTGGCTCACAGGAGGAGTTATGCAAATAGCAAGATGGGATGGTGTGAGTGGGTGTCAGTCTGAAAGAATGGGAAGGCGGCCTGTAGTTGCATACAGATCTCCCTAGGTAATACCCACATGTGATCCTGAGCCTTTATGACTGGAAGAACTGAATTCCAATGAATAAAAGGGGCAGGCCAGGGACTGTCAGGCTGGGAAGGAAAGGACTAAATGATGCTGTACGTCCTCCAGCCATGAAATGAGGTGGGTTCTGTCTGTCTAGTTTGCAGCTTCTAATGCACATTGTCAGAAGCTCACAGTGTGCAGTGAAATCAGAGTAAGGAATTTCAATAGAGGAGTCTTTACAACTGCACAAGACTGAAGGAAAGGCTGGAGATCAGATTTGAGAGAGTCCTTTTCTCCAGAGCAGGCATTGGTTTCATCTGAAGAACTGTCTTCAGGTCATTATGGGCTGAAAGAGTTTTACAGAGCTGAACGTCACCTGCAGAATTGTGAAGGATTGGCTGGTGTATCTGTCATGTCTTTCCCACACACCTTCATGTAAGAGATGCCACCAGTGATATGAGTTTATGTATTTTGTAGTTAGATTGTACATCTACTATGTTTCCACAACCAGCAAATTTGTACCCGTTATTCCATTTTTCGAGCACCAAACATAACGGCTGTGGAGAAGAGTGTCAGTTTAGATATAATATGTGCTGGGGGTTTCATACTCAAGGGAAGGGAATGAATGTCACCTCCCCCTACAGTGTGTCTCACTGTCTTACCTGCTTCAGTTGCATCTGCAGCTTCTTCTTCTGGATCTTCAATGCAGCATTCTTCAGTCGTAATTTGTCTACCAAGCTGTCCTGTCATAGAAAGAAGAGGAATGAGATCCTATGAGGAATGAGAAGTCCACACTCTGCCCAGGTCCTGGCTTTCCATGTGCTCCCATTGATGAGAAAGAAGCCAAAGAACAATGAAGAATGGCTCAATAAAAACATTACTGAGCAACACTGTGACATAAATGTACAGATTTGAGTAGCTGAGATGTGACCTTTAGCAATATGTAATCGTAAATTTAGTTCATTCCTTGTTATTAAAGATATATTCAGTCATAGGTATTCAGAGACGTGCTCAGCCATTAGCATCTGAAGGGACACCTAGGTGCCAATAGGATTTGTCTATAATCAGACTTTGCCACCTTCCTGAAGTTTAAAAGAGGAACGCAGACATTTCGGCTTCATGACACCAGGGGGGCTCCGATGTGTCAGATTGCATGTCTGGGGCCCTGGGGAGCCCTGACAAATATACATAGATCAAAGGAGTAGATTTCATCTCTCATAAAAGCTAAAATATTAGTTGCAGAGAGATGAAAATACTTCCTTCTGATTGGACACTCTGTAGGCTACATCGGCATGTAAAAACTGTATTTGTGGCCTAGGTAGAATGCCAGAAAAATGCAGGAAATGGTTATGTGGCGCTGGATCGCGATAGCTGAACAGTGATTGGTACTGCCGTGATCGGACTGATGCACTGGTGTCGGAAATTCAATTCCCGACTTGGTGATTCAAACCGGTCCTGGTCCAATCGACTTTGGGCAGCTCAGCACCCAGAACGTCCTGTGGGCTGGTACGAGAACACCCCCCAGGGTTGATTGGCTGAGGACGAATGTCCCGCCTACGTCCATATTCCCATAAATTGAGGACTCTGGGATATGGACGTTGTGATTCGTATGGAGCTAGTTCGATCGACTAACAGATTGCTGACTTTCCCTGACTTGCTCCAGTCGCAGGATAAATCTTGGTAAAAGTTTTATTTCTGTTTTTTATTCCCTTTTATTTTATAGTGAATAGTCAAGTGTGTGTCTTCTTGTATTTTTTGTATTTTCTGTAACTTTTTTATATTTTGTACATATTTTATGCACTGCCCACTTTCGGGATATTAAATCATAAAATTAATAAGTGACTTCTGTGTACTTAAGCGGGCTCATATCTCCGGAGAGATTAGATTGTATTGTGTTTTAGTGTCTTTAAATGCTCGGTCAAGTTCATTGCCAATCTGTATGCAATTGCACTGTGTGTTGGCAGATTGCATGAAGATTGTAAAGGTAGCAGATCTGCCAGACGGAGATCTGTGTGTGTGTGGTGTCCCAACAGACCGTTCTGCAGATAAACTGTTGGGTGGTAGCAAGCTACCGTTTGTGTTGTGTCTGGTGTGGGGGTATGTGGACAGTGGGGTTCTGGCTTGTAGGATAGCTGGAGGAATCCTAGAAGGGTGTGTGATTGCTTAAACTGCTCCTCAACCCTAGTTAGTGCATCAGATTGTATGTAAGATTTGTATCTGCCAGTGTGTGGTCGGGCGGCTGGATTGGAGTCTCCCTCCAGTGGTGGCCAAAACGTAGTGCGGGCTGTGAAAGTGTATCACGGCCAGTCTTATATACTTTATATATTAGAAGTTAAGTCCCCCTTATTCCCTTTTACCCCAAGTCACGGCCGCACGTGCGCGCCTCGGTTAGCTAGTCGCTGTGGGTGTGTGTGTGTGGACCATGACAGATTACTCATACCATAACTTGAACGGCCTTGCTCAGCACTGAAGACAACAAGATCATGTTCCACCAACCCTGGCTGTCATACCCCCACCATGATACAATATTGTACACATGGGAGACTAAAGCTTGGTATACACGTATTGGAATTCAGCTGGTTCAGCAGGAACCAGATGAAGTTCAATCCACGAGTACCCCACTCTGTTCAACAAAAGCCGATCATTAGACTGGCTTCTTTTGAATGGTCCTGCTGCAAAATCAGCTGCTGCAGTGCTTATCAGTGTATACTTATGGGGGGGCTTGTGTGGATACAGGGATAAAAAAACAAAAACTCGCCCTCATCTTTTGGTACACGTAGATGTCTGGTACTTCTGGAGATCAGTGTTGAGGACAACATGGCCATTTTCTTCCAGCCCCGGGTGTGAAAGTTCTACCATGAAACATTGTTGTACATGCAGAAGACATACTCTTCCCCTCATCTTTTCCTCCATGTAGATGTCTTGTATGTAAGGAGATCAGCACTGAAGGCAACATGGCCACATACCTTTATTCCGGCTGTGATACTTTCAACATGATAAAAATATGGTACATATGGGAGACTTACCCTTCCCTCGTTTTTTTCTTACATGTAGATGTCCAGTGCTTCTGGAGATCAGCATTGGAGACCATGTCCATGTTTCTCCTGCCCTGGCTGTGTAAACTCTCCCTACCATGTTACAATATTGTTCATATGGGAGACTTGCCCTCACCCTTTTCCTCCATGTAAATGTCTGTTACTTTTGGAGATCAGTATTGGAGACATGACCATGTTCCTCTAGCCCTTTTTGTGATACTCCCACCACTCTTCCTCGATGCAGATGTCCAGTACTTCTGGAGATCAGTATTGAAGACAACATGGCCATGTTCTTTCAGCCCCAGCTGTCATACCCCCACCGTGGTACACATGGAAGACTTACTCTTACCCTCATCTTTTCCTCCATGTCGATGACCTGTACTTCTAGAGCTCAGTATTAAGGACAACAAGACCATGTTCCTCTAGCCCTGGCTGTGATACCACCACCATAATACATTATTGTACACAGAGAAGACTAAGGCTGGCCACACAAGTAATTTCTTTCATTCAACCAGTGGGTTGAATGAAAGAAAATGACTCAATTCCCCCATCCACACACTCGATGTGGATGAGGGAATCCCTCCTGCTTAGTCTTTGTATTCTGACAGTGGGGAGACTTCCTCGCTGTCAGATACACCGATCAACACCGCTGACTATAGACAGCGGCACTGATCGAGAAAAACATTTCCAACAGGCTGGTTGTACACAAGTCAATCGATAGGTCGACTTGAGTGCAACCAGCCTGCTCATACATGGATGGAAATTTGTCAGGTCCCTGCTGAACCACTGAATTTCGATAAATGTATGGCTGGCTTTACTCTCACCCTCATCATTTTTTACATATACTGTAGATGTCCTGTACTTCTGGAGATCAACACTGAAGACAACATGGCCATGTTCCTTCTGTTCTTGCTGTGTGATATTATTACAGGATACAATATGGTACATGTGGGAGACTTGTCCTCGTCCTAGTCTTTTCCTTGATGGAGATGTCCAATACTTTTGGAGATCAGCATTGGAGATAACATGGTCATGTTCCTACAGCCCTGGCTGTGTGATATCAATACCAATACCATGATACATTATTGTACACATGGAAGAATTACCCTTGCTCTCGTCTTCTCCTCCATGTAGCGGAGAACCTTTTCCGGGGTAACTCCTCTACCTTTTTTGCTGCTTACAGCCGCCTTCCCGATGTCTCGTTCAAACTCATACACAGCTTTCCTAATTTCTATGCTGCGGATCTCAGCTTCCTCCATCGTGGCCTAATAAGGCAGAAAAGAAGTCTCAGGTCATTTCTGGACTCAACATCAGAGAGCCTGACAGCTGAGCTGAGAAGTTCATCACATAATAAATATCTCTATAGAAAACAGGAAAAGGACAAACCATGTGAGAAGACGCACCTTGAAACCCTGAAGGATCCGATCTGCATTCTCGGCGTCCCTTAGTGCCTCCTCTTTGGAATCTTCCAGTTCCCGCAGCACCAGCTCAAGTTTCTGATCAACGCTCAGACTCAACAAGCGCTCTGAGATCGTACTACGAGACTTTGACCTGCGCCGGCTTCGCATCTAACAGAGGAAATAAAAATGAGGACCAGCAGCTGCTCTTCCCTTAGTCCTCCCATCAAATCCCCTTGATCTGTATAGGCCTCTTGTTCCTATGGGAAGGGTGATACATCCAGTGTTTCCTGACCTGTATATGTGCTTGTTTTGTAGAGGGCTGGTGAGGATGCTGAGGCTACATACATCTATGGTAACATATAGAGGCAATCACCTGACTGATCTGCAGATTTATTTAATGAACAGTCCACCGGTCAGTCCCCATAGTGATCCATCAAAACTTATTTTGTACTAGTCTGACTTCAGTGAAGGCGATTCTGATTGGATGGTCTTGGTTTTTGTCTACTGATTTTATCTAGTGAGGGCATAAGTAAGTACAGGCTCGACATGTATGTGTATGTCAGCCATACTAGACCAATGGTCACTGATGTGGCAGAATGTGGCTCTTTTCTAGCATTTATCTGGCCCATGGGGCACTATTCCTCCCACTGACACCAACCATGGGGCACTATTCTTCCCACTGACACCAACAATGAGCCACATTCCTCCCACTGACACCAACAATAGACCATATTCCTCCCATTACCACCAACAATGGTCCGTATTCCTCCCACTAACATCAAGGGTGGGGCACTATTCCTCCCACTGATGTCAATGATGGGGCACAATTCCTCCCACTGACACCAACGATGGGGCACTATTCCTCCCACTGACACCAATGATGGGGCGTTGTTTATCCCACTGACACCAATAATGGGCCATATTCTTCTCACTGACACCAATAATGGGCCATATTCCCCTCACTGACACCAATAATGGGCCATATTCCCCTCACTGACACCAATAATGGGCCATATTCCCCTCACTGACACCAATAATGGCCATATTCCCTTCACTGACATCAGTGATAGGGAACTATTCCTCCCACTGATACCAATGATGGAGCACTATTCCTCCCACTGGTACCAACTATGGGGCATTGTTAATCCCACTGAGGCCAGGACATTTTCTACTCCCATTGGCCACAGTCCTGCCCTCCCTAAAATCTATAGGACAGCCCTTTGTTTTGAACGTTTGGAGACCCATACCATCTTCAACCCTCCATGTGTGCTCACATCTAACCTGGTTAAAATCTAAGGTGGATACTCCGACCTCAGAGACTGCCACCGGTGCCAGGTCCTTGGGGTCCAGCCGCTTGCAGAACTTCTCAAACATCTCTGTCTCAGCTTTGAGTGTAGACAAGGCATCGCTAGAAGAGGCACCATGGTTACAACAGTCAGATATTTCAATGTGTTTGACAATTTTGAAAAAAGTGTTACAGGATGAAATAGAAAATTACGACATTTTATTAATTCTCCCTTTAATTCTCCTTCCCTTTCTTGCCTCTGTGGCTGCTTATGCTTGCCTATACCTCGTTAACCGCAGAGAGCCAGTTCATGGAGAAGGATCTCCCCGTACTACATCTGGACATTATTATCAGGGAGTTTGGTGCTGCCATGAAGGTCAAGCAGTAAAGGAGAACGATGGGAAGTTCTGACAATTTTATATTTTGCAGACTTTCCATGTCTGGTCATTTCCTGCACATAGAGATTTCTGCAGGACACACATTGGCAGTGGCCATGAAGGTGTAGGAAGTTCCAAGAGATAACTCTGCAGTTTGTCCCTGGACAGATGGAGGTAAGCTCCTGGTAGGGTGTGCAGACAAAGTTCCCCCCTCCTGCTGCCTTCCACTGCCTTCGGGAGCTATCCTGTCCCAGCTGACCATAGAGATCATGGAGGACTGGAAGGTCCTCGATGATCTCCATGGTATAGGAAACCAGGAGCGATGAACATTTTCGTCACTTAAAATTTCCCAGATGTAAACAGCGCCATTTTTGAATCGGTAAAGCATCTGAGCACGCCAATCTTGGTGTGATTAGATGCTTGCAAGGGCAGAGGAGACACCCGGGGATGTCTAATAGACCCCAGATGTCTCCATAAAGAGGACATGTCGCTGCCTACTGCTGTCACAAGGAAGGTTTACATTTCTTGTGACAACAAAAAAGTGATAAAAAAACAAAAAAAATTAAAGAAACAGTGTAAAAAAAAAAAAAAGTTTTTAAAATGCCTCCGCGCACAAAAGTGAATGCATATATAGGAAGCACCAGGGGCGGACTGACAACTCATGGGGCCCCCAAGCAATAGGGGATCATGGGGCCCCTGTGTCCTTGCCCAAACTACAAAAAGCCTATGAAAAAGGTACCAGGGGCATCTCATGGGGCCCCCTACTGACCCGGGCCCTTGGACGCTGCCCGAGTTTCCAAATGGTCAGCCCGCCCCTGTTCCTATCAGAGACAGGTGAAGTGTGGTCCTTGTCATGTGTATCCACAGTACTCCCCATGTAGAAAATGAACGATTGTCACATCCCTATTAGAGGCAGGTGAAGTACGGTCCTTGGCATGTGTATCCACTATACTCCCCATACAGAAAATGAACGATTGTCATATCCCTATCAGAGACAGTTGAAGGACGGTCCTTGGTATGTGTATCCACAGTGCTCCCCATACAGAACATGAACAATTGTCACATTCCTATCCAGGGGCGGACTGACAACTCATGGGGCCCCCAGGCAATAAGGGATCATGGGGCCCCTGTGTCCTTGCCCAAACTACAAAAAGCCTATGAAAAAGGTACCAGGGGCATCTCATGGGGCCCCCTACTGACCCCGGGCCCTCGGGCAGTGGCCGAGTTTCCAAATGGTCAGTCCGCCCCTGTTCCTATCAGAGACAGGTGAAGTGTGGTCCTTGGCATGTGTATCCACAATACTCCCCATGCAGATCATGAACGATTGTCACATCCCTATCAGAGACAGGTGACATGTGGTCCTTGGTATGTGTATCCACAATACTCCCCATGTAGAAAATGAACGATTGTCACATTCCTATCAGAGACAGGTGAAGTGTGGTCTTTGGCATGTGTATCCACAGTACTCCCCATACAGAACATGAACGATTGTCACAGCCCTATCAGAGACAGGTGAGTGTGATTGTCACATCCCTATCAGAGTCAGGTGAGTGTGATTGTCACATCCCTATCAGAGACAGGTGAGTGTGATTGTCACACTCCTATCAGAGACAGATGAGTGTGATTGTCACATCCCTATCAGAGACAGATGAGTGTGATTGTCACATCCCTATCAGAGACAGATGAGTGTGATTGTCACATCCCTATCAGAGACAGGTGAGTGTGATTGTCACATCCCTATCAGAGACAGGTGAGTGTGATTGTCACATCCCTATCAGAGACAGGTGAGTGTGATTGTCACATCCCTATCAGAGACAGGTGAGTGTGATTGTCACATCCCTATCAGAGACAGGTGAGTGTGATTGTCACATCCCTATCAGAGACAGGTGAGTGTGATTGTCACATCCCTATCAGAGACAGATGAGTGTGATTGTCACATCCCTATCAGAGACAGGTGAGTGTGATTGTCACATCCCTATCAGAGACAGGTGAGTGTGATTGTCACATCCCTATCAGAGTCAGGTGAATGTGATTGTCAGTCTTCTCGTGTCCCCATTGCACTAATTTCGTGTGACATACCAATATGCAGCATACACCGTTTTATTCCCCCGGGCCTATGCCTAACAATATATAAAGTTCGGGGGTTCGGAGTTATTTTCTAGCAAACAAATGATTTGTACGCGTTGAGAGAAGTGTCAGGATTGGTAGAAAGTAAATCTGTTATCGCCCTCCCACCCCCAGATCCGTGCTCACCTGACAAGCCGGGTCACCTCCAGCAGCTGATCCCTGCTCAGCTCGGTCACATAAGGCTCCTCTCCGCCCTGAGACTCGGTCCGCACGCTCTCAGCGTCCGGCTCCGCCATGGTTACCCTGGCAACACGTGATGTCACCACGCCGCGCCGTCACCCGAGCCACGGTAATGTAAGTGGGGTGCAGTCCCTCCTCCCAGCCTGTTAGAGGCGCTGTGTGATATGCGGTGATTTCTGTTCTATGTATAGGGATTGCAGTGTTTCCTCCAGCCCGGAGGGGCGCTGTGTAATGTGCAGTCATTTCTGTTTTGTATATCGGGTGTTGCAGTTCCTCCTCCTGACCGGCGGGGGTGCTGTGCGTTGCCGCCTCCTCAGCGAGGCTCCCGGAAGTCGGTGTCGGTGTCGCCGGGCTGGCTGCGCTGGTTGCCGCCTCTCCCCCTCTCTTCCTGCAGCTGCTGCTGAGAGGCGGCCGGCGGGCCCTGTGCTCCGCCCCTCCAGCCGTCATGCCGGGCCCGCAGGCCGGGAGCAGAGCCCGGGTGTATGCCGATGTCAACAGCCAGAGGAGCCGTGACTACTGGGACTACGAGGCGCACCAGCCCGCCTGGGGTGACTGACCGGGATATGTGGGGGTGGGGGAGGGGTCAGTGAGGGGTAAGTGGTGATGGGGAGGGGGGAAGGGTGTAGGGGGAATGGAAAGAGGGTGTTGGGGAGAGGGGGCTAGGAGGAGTGGTTGAGGGTGTATGGTGGTTGGGGGATTTTCTGTCAGTTGTCACCTGGAGATATTTGTTTTTGATCCGTTACCCATAGCAACTGCCCGCCATTCCCCTCACCATCCTACACAACGACAGCACAAACCTGATTGGCCCATCTGGACATCACAGACAGTTCTCCTTCCATTGATGTCAGACATGAAGGGGGGGTCACAGTGTTCACTGAAGGAAAATATTCTCCATGTCTGCCCCGCCCCCTGTACTGAACCCCCCCCCCCCCAAAACAGTGACTGCGCTCTGTACCCTCCCCCACACTGCGGTCCCAACATGGTCCCCACTCTGTACCCTCCCCCACACTGCGGTCCCAACATGGTCCCCACTCTGTACCCTCCCCCACACTGCGGTCCCAACATGGTCCCCACTCTGTACCCTCCCCCACACTGCGGTCCCAACATGGTCCCCACTCTGTACCCTCCCCCACACTGCGGGTCCCAACATGGTCCCCACTCTGTACCCTCCCCCACACTGCGGCCCCAACATGGTCCCCACTCTGTACCCTCCCCCACACTGCGGCCCCAACATGGTCCCCACTCTGTACCCTCCCCCACACTGCGGTCCCAACATGGACCCCACTCTGTACCCTCCCCCACACTGCGGTCCCAACATGGACCCCACTCTGTACCCTCCCCCACACTGCGGTCCCAACATGGACCCCACTCTGTACCCTCCCCCACACTGCGGTCCCAACATGGTCCCCACTCTGTACCCTCCCCCACACTGCGGTCCCAACATGGACCCCACTCTGTACCCTCCCCCCACTCTGTACCCTCCCCCCACACTAGGCGGTCCCAACATGGTCCCCACTCTGTACCCTCCCCCACACTGCGGTCCCAACATGGACCCCACTCTGTACCCTCCCCCACACTGCGGTCCCAACATGGACCCCACTCTGTACCCTCCCCCACACTGCGGTCCCAACATGGACCCCACTCTGTACCCTCCCCCCACACTGCGGTCCCAACATGGACCCCACTCTGTACCCTCCCCCACACTGCGGTCCCAACATGGTCCCCACACTGCGGTCCCAACATGGTCCCCGCTCTGTACTCGTGTACCCTCCCCCACACTGCGGTCCCAACATGGTCCCCACTCTGTACCCTCCCCCACACTGCGGTCCCAACATGGTCCCCACTCTGTACCCTCCCCCACACTGCGGTCCCAACATGGACCCCACTCTGTACCCTCCCCCACACTGCGGTCCCAACATGGACCCCACTCTGTACCCTCCCCCACACTGCGGTCCCAACATGGACCCCACTCTGTACCCTCCCCCACACTGCGGTCCCAACATGGACCCCACTCTGTACCCTCCCCCACACTGCGGCCCCAACATGGACCCCACTCTGTACCCTCCCCCACACTGCGGTCCCAACATGGTGACCCCCACTCTGTACCCTCCCCCACACTGCGGTCCCAACATGGACCCCACTCTGTACCCTCCCCCACACTGCGGTCCCAACATGGACCCCACTCTGTACCCTCCCCCCACACTGCGGTCCCAACATGGTCCCCACTCTGTACCCTCCCCCACACTGCGGTCCCAACATGGTCCCCACTCTGTGTACCCCCCCCACACTGCGGTCCCAACATGGTCCCCACTCTGTACCCTCCCCCACACTGCGGTCCCAACATGGTCCCCACTCTGTACCCTCCCCCACACTGCGGTCCCAACATGGTCCCCACTCTGTACCCTCCCCCACACTGCGGTCCCAACATGGACCCCCACTCTGTACCCTCCCCCACACTGCGGTCCCAACATGGACCCCACTCTGTACCCTCCCCCACACTGCGGTCCCAACATGGACCCCACTCTGTACCCTCCCCCCACACTGCGGTCCCAACATGGACCCCACTCTGTACCCTCCCCCACACTGCGGTCCCAACATGGACCCCACTCTGTACCCTCCCCCACACTGCGGACCTCCCAACATGGACCCCACTCTGTACCCTCCCCCACACACTGCGGCCCCAACATGGACCCCACTCTGTACCCTCCCCCACACTGCGGTCCCAACATGGACCCCACTCTGTACCCTCCCCCACACACTGCGGTCCCAACATGGACCCCACACTGTAACCCCCCCCACACTGCGGTCCCAACATGGACCCCACTCTGTACCCTCCCCCACACTGCGGCCCCAACATGGACCCCACTGTGTACCCTCCCCCACACTGCGGCCCCAACATGGTCCCCACTGTGTACCCTCCCCCCACACTGCGGTCCCAAACATGGTCCCCACTCTGTACCCTCCCCCACACTGCGGTCCCAACATGGTCCCCACTCTGTACCCTCCCCCACACTGCGGTCCCAACATGGTCCCCACTCTGTACCCTCCCCCACACTGCGGTCCCAACATGACCCCACTCTGTACCCTCCCCCACACTGCGGTCCCAACATGGACTCCCACTCTGTACCCTCCCCCACACTGCGGTCCCAACATGGACCCCACTCTGTACCCCCTCCCCCACCTGCGGCCCCAACATGGACCCCACTGTGTACCCTCCCCCACACTGCGCCCCAACATGGTCCCCACTGTGTACCCTCACCGCCCCCACACTGCGGCCCCAACATGGTCCCCACTCTGTACCCCCCCCCCACACTGCGGTCCCAACATGGTCCCCACTCTGTACCCTCCCCCACACTGCGGTCCCAACATGGTCCCCACTCTGTACCCTCCCCCACACTGCGGTCCCCAACATGGACCCCACTCTGTACCCTCCCCCACACTGCGGTCCCAACACTGTCCCCACTCTGTACCCCCCCATTACTGAACTATCAACATTGACCCTATTCTGTACCCTCCCCCAATACTGAATTCCCAACATTGACAACACTCTATACTCTCCCCCCCTCCCTCAACACTGAACCCCTGACATTGACCCCACTCTGTACTATCCCCCCTCCCCCAGTACTAAACCCCCAACATTGACCCCACTCTGTTTTCTCTCCTCTCCCCCCAGTACTGACTGCTAAACTCCCACATTGACCCCACTCTGTACTATCCCCCCTCTCCTAATACTAAATCCCCAACATTGACCTCACTCTGTACCCCTCCCCCAATACTGGACCACCGACATTGACCCCACTCTGTACTCTCCCCCCCTTCCCCAATACTGACTCTCCAACATTGACCCCTGCTCTACTCTCCCCCCCCCCTAATAATGACCCTCTCTTCCCTGTACTGTGCTGCCAACAATGACCTCCCCCTGTATTGTGCTGCCAATACTGACCCTGCTCTGTAATGCCCCCCCCCCCCAACACTGACCCTGCTCTGTAATGCGCCCCCCCCCCAACACTGACCCTGCTCTGTAATGCCCCCCCCCCCAATCCAACACTTTTCTCACTCTTTACTTTTCCCCCCCCTCCCCCCCCCAACATTATTCCTGCTCTGTATTGCCCCTCCCCCCAACAATGACTCCCTACTGTATTGTGCTGCCAACACTGACCCTGCTCTTTAAACCCCCCCAACACTGACCTCTCTATACTCCCCCCCCCCCCCCCCCAACATTTAACCCTGCTGAGTACTGCCCCCCCCCCAACACTGACCCCATTCTGTACTGTTCCACCCCCCCTGATCAATTACTGCCCCACTCTTTATTGTTCTCTTTTATCCCCCCTGCCTCCCAACACTGACCCTGCTCTGTACTGCTCCCCCCCCAACACTGACCCTGCTCTGTACTGCTCCTCCCCCCCCCAACACTGACCCTGCTCTGTACTGCTCCCCCCCAACACTAACCCTGCTCTGTACTGCCCCCCCCCAACACTAACCCTGCTCTGTACTGCCCCCCCCCAACACTAACCCTGCTCTGTACTGCTCCCCCCCCCCAACACTAACCCTGCTCTGTACTGCTCCCCCCCCCCCAACAACTAACCCTGCTCTGTAACTGCTTCTGTACCCCCCCTCCCAACACTGACCCTGCTCTGTACTGCTCCCCCCCCTCCCAACACTGACCCTGCTCTGTACTGCTCCCCCCCTCCCAACACTGACCCTGCTCTGTACTGCCTCCCCCCTCCCAACACTGTCCCCCGCTCTGTACTGCTCCCCCCCCCCCAACACTGTCCCCCGCTCTGTACTGCCCCCTCCCCCCCAACACTGTCCCCGCTCTGTACTGCTCCCCCCCCAACACTGTCCCCGCTCTGTACTGCTCCCTTCCTCCCAACACTGACCCCGCTCTGTACTGCTACCCCCCCCCCAAACACTGACCCCGCTCTGTACTGCTACCCCCCCCCAAACACTGACCCTGCTCTGTACTGCTTGCTACCCCCCCCCCCCCCCAACACTGTCCCCTGCTCTGTACTGCTCCCCCCCCAACACTGTCCCCCCGCTCTGTACTGCTATCCCTTCCTACCCCCCCCCCCCCCCCCCCCCCCCCCCAACACTGTCCCTGCTCTGTACTGCTCCCCCCCCCCAACACTGACCCTGCTCTGTACTGCTCCCCCCCCCCCAACACTGTCCCCGCTCTGTACTGCTCCCCCCCCCAACACTGTCCCCGCTCTGTACTGCCCCCCCCCAACACTGTCCCCTGCTCTGTACTGCTGCTCCCCCCCCCCCCAACACTGTCCCCGCTCTGTACTGCTCCCCCCCCCCCAACACTGTCCCCGCTCTGTACTGCTCCCTTCCTCCCAACACTGTCCCCGCTCTGTACTGCCCCCCCCCAAACACTGTCCCCGCTCTGTACTGCTCCCTTCCCCCAACACTGTCCCCCTCTGTACTGCCCCCCCCCCCCCCAACACTGTCCCCGCTCTGTACTGCCCTCCCCCAAAACTGTCCCCGCTCTGTACTGCCCCCAACACTGTCCCCCCGCTCTGTACTGCCCCCCCCCCAACACTGTCCCCCCGCTCTGTACTGCCCTCCCCCAACACTGTCCCCGCTCTGTACTGCCCTCCCCCAACACTGTCCCCGCTCTGTACTGCCCTCCCCCCAACACTGTCCCCGCTCTGTACTGCCCTCCCCCAACACTGTCCCCGCTCTGTACTGCCCTCCCCCCCAACACTGTCCCGCTCTGTACTGCCCTCCCCCAACACTGTCCCCCGCTCTGTACTGCCCTCCCCCAACACTGTCCCCGCTCTGTACTGCCCTCCCCCAACACTGTCCCCGCTCTGTACTGCCCTCCCCCAACACTGTCCCCGCTCTGTACTGCCCTCCCCCAACACTGTCCCCGCTCTGTACTGCCCTCCCCCAACACTGTCCCCTCTGTACTGCTCCCTTCCCCCAACACTGACCAATACTTCCCCCCCCGCCCCCCACAACTCTGACCCTGCTCTGTATTGTTTCCCCCACAAACATTGGCCCGCTCTGTACTGTTTCCTGCCCCCCCAAAACTGATCCTGCTCTTTACTGTCCCCCCCCCTCCCCCCAACAATTACTCCCCTTCTGTATTGTGCTGCCAACACTGACCCTACTCTGTACTGCCCCCCCCCCCCCCGACTGACCTCACTCTATACTGGTTCCTGCGCCCCCCCCCCAAACTTAATCCCGCTCTGTACTGTTCCCCTCCCCCCCTTGCAACCCTGACCCCACTCTACTTCCACCCCCCCCCATTACTGACCTTGCTCTGTACTGTCCCCCCCCCCCCCCAAAATAAAACTGATCGTGCTCTGGACTCCCACCCCCCAAAAACACTGACCTTGCGCTGTACTCTTCCCCCAACACTGACCCCACTTGGTACTTGTTCCCCTCTCCCCAGCACTGACCCTGCTCTGTACTTTCCTCCCCCTCCAATGCTGACCCAACTCGGTACTGCCCCCGATAATGACTCCTCAACTGTACTATGCTGCCAGCAATGACCAACTCTTTGCTGTGCCCCCCCAACACTGATCTGTACTGTTCCTTCTGCCTCAACACTGACCCCACTCTGTAATGTCTCCACCCCATTCTGTCCCCCTTTCATCACTGATCTCCATCTATACTGACCCCACTCTCTACTGTTTCCCCTCCATCACTAGCCCCCACCTTGTACTCTGCATAAAATTCTCTGGTACTCTCAGCTCTGACTCCAGCCTTTGTACTGTCCCCTTTAGTGCCCTCAGGACTGCCGCTCTCAGGACTGATGTACTCTCAGCACTGATGCCGCTCTCTGTATTATCTCCCCCTGTACTCTCAGCACTGATGCCGCTCTCTGTATTATCTCCCCCTGTACTCTCAGCACTGATGCCGCTCTCTGTATTATCTCCCCTGTACTCTCAGCACTGATGCCGCTCTCTGTATTATCTCCCCCTGTACTCTCAGCACTGATGCCGCTCTCTGTATTATCTCCCCCGTACTCTCAGCACTGATGCCACTCTCTGTATTATCTCCCCCCGTACTCTCAGCACTGATGCCGCTCTCTGTATTCTCTCCTCCGGTACTCTCAGCACTGATGCCACTCTCTGTATTATCTCCTCCGGTACTCTCAGCACTGATGCCACTCTCTGTATTATCTCCTCTGGTACTCTCAGCACTGATGCCGCTCTCTGTATTATCTCCCCCGTACTCTCAGCACTGATGCCGCTCTCTGTATTATCTCCCCCGTACTCTCAGCACTGATGCCGCTCTCTGTATTATCTCTCCCCCCGTACTCTCAGCACTGATGCCGCTCTCTGTATTATCTCCTCCTGTACTCTCAGCACTGATGCCGCTCTCTGTATTATCTCCCCCGGTACTCTCAGCACTGATGCCGCTCTCTGTATTATCTCCTTCGGTACTCTCAGCACTGATGCCACTCTCTGTATTATCTCTCCTCTGGTACTCTCAGCACTGATGCCGCTCTCTGTATTATCTCCCCCCGTACTCTCAGCACTGATGCCGCTCTCTGTATTATCTCCCCCCGTACTCTCAGCACTGATGCCGCTCTCTGTATTATCTCCCCCCGTACTCTCAGCACTGATGCCGCTCTCTGTATTATCTCCTCCGGTACTCTCAGCACTGATGCCGCTCTCTGTATTATCTCCTCCGGTACTCTCAGCACTGATGCCGCTCTCTGTATTATCTCCTTCGGTACTCTCAGCACTGATGCCACTCTCTGTATTATCTCCTCCGGTACTCTCAGCACTGATGCCGCTCTCTGTATTATCTCCCCCCGTACTCTCAGCACTGATGCCGCTCTCTGTATTACCTCCCCCCGTACTCTCAGCACTGATGCCGCTCTCTGTATTATCTCCCACCGTACTCTCAGCACTGATGCCGCTCTCTGTATTATCTCCCCCCGTACTCTCAGCACTGATGCCGCTCTCTGTATTATCTCCCCCCGTACTCTCAGCACTGATGCCACTCTCTGTATTATCTCCCCCCGTACTCTCAGCACTGATGCCACTCTCTGTATTATCTCCTCCGGTACTCTCAGCACTGATGCCGCTCTCTGTATTATCTCCCCCGTACTCTCAGCACTGATGCCACTCTCTGTATTATCTCCCCCCGTACTCTCAGCACTGATGCCACACTTTTTTCCTTCGCAGGAATCAGGAAGATTATCAGCTGGTGAGGAAGTTGGGCCGTGGGAAGTACAGCGAGGTGTTTGAGGCGATCAACATCACCAACAATGAGCGTGTGGTGGTGAAGATACTGAAGGTTGGTGGAGAATGACTTCTGTGTGCGGAGGGGGAGTGGTCTGTTATTGTCTCCTCCCACACCTTAATCATCCCATTTGCTCACTGGATAATGTCCACTTTTTACTGACTGGTCCTCTCTCGCTCCAATAGTATAGTGCACGAGGAAACCACTCCCCCTTTAGAACCCAGAGACTGGAGTCCCCTTCCCCTAAGATGTCAAGGGACTCCTCTCCCCAAGCTGGCAGGAGACTCCTTTCCTGTTCAGAGGCCAGGCTGGCAGGCAACTGGTGGCGTGAAGCATCCTATGGAGATTTGATATATCTTAGTGTAATTAAGGGACTATAAACCAAAGTGTACCAAAGCCACGGATGTGGGTCTATATAGATTTGGTGTAAGCACTCTGATATGCTGCCGGTGAAGCTTAATTGGCTTATATTTTGCCTTCCTCTTATTAACATGACAATGACATTATTAAATCCTTTCCATTTTCCTTACTTACTTTATTATAGACCTGTTCATATCAGTGGTTCTCTGTGCTTCTCTATACAATGTAGGCAGATCTTGGCTGGTGGAAGGGGCTGGCAGGGTGCTGTACATAGCTTCCAGAAAGCATCACAGCACCCTGCCCCAGTACTTCTCTTGAGAGCCCTTAGTTCTGTTATAGGTAGTGAGATGACGTGGGAGGAGTTGCGCAAAAATCAAAATGCCTTGGGTGGGTGTTTGCCTGGAGCAGTTAGTGTTTCTAGGCAGACTGTATTTGCATGTGGACCACCCACATGTTGAGCTTTAGCCTCCACTATTAACAGAACTAAATGAATAGGGTGGGCTAGGGACAAGTCAGACTGGGGAAGAAAGGGCTAGACAATACTGATTGTCCTCCAGCCAGGATATGAGGCAGGCTCTATCTGACTTGATTCAGCTCCTAATGCACATTGTGAGAAGTTCACTGGACTGGCGGTAAGATTGACTTATTGTTTTTATAGAAAAACATGGTGGTGTTGGTTGCATTTTCCTTCCCCACAATGCAGGGGTGTGAACCGTCCAAGTAAGGGACAAGGCATTTAGCCTTGGATTGTGGTAGGACTGCGGTGGGACTGAACTGGAATAGCTGCCCAACGCAGTCCTATCACACTCTGGTGTGAATAGATAGACCCTTACCCCTGGTTCACATATCTGCATTCCACGGTTAGCGCGGGGTACATTCATTTGAATGGACTCCCATGCCCTGGGACACGCAGGGAAGAAGTCCCTGCACTTCGAAAAACGCAGCCTGCACAGAAACCTCGGTTCCCAGAACGATTGCGATTTCCAGCGCAGGTCCGTATTCTGTGTAGGTGGTGCGGCTGCACGGATTTTTGTGCAGATCCGCAGCGGCACCACCCGCACATATGTGAACCTGGTCTTAGACTGTATGTGGACACATTCTAGTTGCTGAATGAAGGGGATCTCTGTAAATCGCAGATCATTACTCTAAGGCTAAGCACGTCCGCCTGGCAGCACTAGGGTCATTGGTTTGAATCCTAACCACAGCAGTACCTGCCTGGAGTTTGCATGTTCTCCCTGTGCCTGTGTGAGTTTCTTCCAGGTACTCCAGCTTACTCCCACACTCCAAAGACTTGCTGGTAGATTCATTGATCACTATCTAAAAACTGGCCTTAGTATGTGAGTTAGGGACCTTAAATTGTACGCTCCTTGAGGGTTAGAGACTGATGTGAATGTACAATATATATGTAAAGTGCTGCGTAAATTGACTGTTCTATATGAGTACCTGAAATAAATTACATGTAATCTGGGACTTATCAATTCACCCTTAACCACTTCCAGTCCGGACACTTTTACCCCCTTCCTGACCAGGGTAATTTTCAGCTTTCAGCACTATCACACTTTGAATGACAATTGTGCGGTCATGCAACACTGTACCCATATGAATTTTTTACCATTTTTTTTGAGACCAATAAAACTTTTTTTGGTGATATTTATTCAGACCTGGGATTATTATTTTTTTTTTTTTGCTATGTCCAAACATTTTGAAAAAAAAGTGTTTTTCTTATAAAATTTTGCAAATAAATATTTCATCATAAATCTTGGCCAAAATTGAATCCGTTATCTTTTTAGTAAAAAAAAGCCAAATTAGTTTAGAACCAAAAATTATAATTTTTAAACATTTTTTTTTTTTATATTTATCTATTTTTTTACATACTGTCACCCTAGCAGTACAGTGGTGACACTGTACTACTTTTGGGGGGTGATGATTTTTTTTTTTTTTTACACTGATTGCTTTTTACACCCATATAGCATGTAAAAGCAATTATTTCTCTTTCTCTCTGTCTGCATTCTTGCAGCCATTGAGAACTACTGAGTGAGCTGTGATTGGTCACAGCTTGTCACATGGTACAAGGCTGTTGTGAATAGCCTTGTACCATGTGACCTCTGTGATCATTCACAGATTTCACACATAGTAAGCAATGATGTCAGAAGTGACATCTTGCTTACTACTTTGCATGTGATCACTGATTGGCCAATCAGTGATCACATGATCGGGACTTCGTGCAGAGGTCCCATCCGACGATCGGTGTTTCACTGTGTCCGGAGGACACAGCGGGCACCGGATCGCGGTGCTGCGCGCACAAGCAGGGTGCGGTTAGGTCGTTTATAAACTGCCACCTGACCCTGCACTGCCACCGGCCGGCCGTTTATATACAACGGCTGGTCGGGAAGTGGTTAAACTACATCCAGATATGATCAGTGATCCAAGTCCTAGGTAAGGTTAGCTACCAATGGCTAAGGGCTTTCTATAACAATTCAAAGAGCCATCAATCCTACAACAGTCTGCTGATCTCACAGGAATAGGTCCCTGTCCTTTACATCCACTTAATGAGAGGATAAACAATCCGGGGGCACAGCTCACAACTCATCCTGAACTAATAAGTTACAAGGGACCCCATCCCAGCAGATCTCTGCATGTGATTATATCCATAACCTGCCATGTCACATGACCTGTGCGCGTAACATGAATGTCTTTCGCAGCCGGTGAAGAAGAAGAAAATAAAGCGAGAAGTGAAGATTTTGGAGAATTTGAGAGGAGGAACCAACATTATCCGTCTGCTGGACACCATAAAGGACCCCGTGGTGAGTAGGAAAGGAATTGGAGGGGGGGGGGGGGGGTGGAGTTGGGTCATAAGTACCCCTTATAGTTTTATGTATTCCAATACAGTTAAGGTGGATCTAAAGGCTAAATATTGTGAACAGACCAGCTGTTTATTGTAAAAGAGACATTCTGTGTATGATGCTATGTAGACATACAGTGTCTCTCCTGCGATAAAACCATCTAACTTGCCTGTTCACAATCCTCTGTAGAATGTACGCTGAGCGGTCCGTACGCTGTGCAGTACACTTTCCGTGCCATGATGACTGCGCACGCCGCAGCAAAAATTTAACCGCATGCCACATTCAGTAGAATGTAACCTATTTAAGTGTTAGGGGCTGCCATTGCCTACTCACCACGTGTCCATTGCAGATTGCTTTTCAGAGGGAACAGTGGCAAGGTTCCGCATATTACAGCAAGCCCTTATGTACACTTGGGGCTTCTTACCAGCAGGGGGCATAATAACAATGCTGTCCAGCCTAATGAGAGCTTAGGGCAATGTAGGGTGCCCTTTGGTGAGTTTTCATGGAGGGAGGGTGGGGGTGCATGCGCAAGTGTTGCATCAATTGTGAGAAAAGAGAGAAGATGCCAGGCACAGGATTCAAGGAAATGGAGCAACAGGACCTGTCATTGTCGGAGGATTCCAAACTAGGTTACAAGTTGCACCTTATGGTTAGTGTGCCTAGGGCCCTGGACTTTAGTTGCAAGTTAAGAACCAATAAGGAGACCTAACACTAGGTATGATGTCATCACCAGATATGGCAGTGAGGGGTCTGTGTTCAGATTAAATTGTATTTGTCCTCTTTGCAGATGGTAGAGTACCCCTTTAATGACATAACTTGTATTTCCAGTCCAAGACTCCGGCCCTGGTGTTCGAGTACATCAATAACACAGACTTTAAGGTAAGCAGTGTTTGATTATTAGACCAAATATATGTCACCCTATTATGTTCTCTACCACCGACTGCTGCTGACACTCTATGCCAGTGATGGCGAACCCGTGGCACGCGTGCCACAGCCGGCACGCCGAGCCTTATCTGTGGGCACACCAGGAGAATACCGTATTTTTCGCTCCATAAGACGCACTTTTTTCCCCCCAAAAAAGGGGGGAAAATGTCAGTGCGTCTTATGGAGCGAATATAGAGCGGCCGGTCCGGTATTTCCACCGCGGCCGTGTCAGAATACCGGGCCGGCCGCTCAGCTCTGCAGTGGGACCGTACCTGTCCCTCTATCCAGCGGCGCGCTGTCTTCCCGGCTTCTGTAGTGTGGTGACAGCCGGGTCCCAAGTGCGCATGCGCAAGAAGCAGTGCTCTTTGTGAATGGTAAGGCGGTACCTGGGACACATGACAGATCCCAGAAGCCGCCGGACCAATCACAAAGCGCAGCGCTTCTCGCGCATGCGCACTGGGCATCCGGCTGTCTGACGAGCGCCCACACTACAGAAGCCGGGAAGACAGCGCGCGGCTGGATAAAGGAACAGGTAAGATAAAAAAAAAAACTCTGCGGAAGTAAGAGCGGGTACCTGTCATATTCAGGTACCCGCTCCCCCTCCCTCCCCAAAGGTCAGCAGTCATCTGTACTGTCCGCAGTCTCTGGTCATCCCTGTGCTTTCCGCAGTCTCTGGTCATCTCCTGTACTGTCCGCAGTCTCTGGTCATCTCCTGTACTGTCCGCAGTCTCTGGTCATCCCTGTACTGTCCGCAGTCTCTGGTCATCCCTGTACTGTCCGCAGTCTCTGGTCATCCCTGTACTGTCCGCAGTCTCTGGTCATCCCTGTACTGTCCGCAGTCTCTGGTCATCCCTGTACTGTCCGCAGTCTCTGGTCATCCCTGTACTGTCCGCCGTCTCTGGTCATCCCTGTACTGTCCGCCGTCTCTGGTCATCCCTGTACTGTCCGCCGTCTCTGGTCATCCCTGTACTGTCCGCAGTCTCTGGTCATCCCTGTACCGTCCGCAGTCTCTGGTCATCCCTGTACCGTCCGCAGTCTCTGGTCATCCCTGTACCGTGTCCGCAGTCTCTGGTCATCCCTGTACCGTGTCCGCAGTCTCTCTGGTCATCCCTGTACCGTGTCCGCAGTCTCTGGTCATCCCTGTACCGTGTCCGCAGTCTCTGGTCATCCCTGTACCGTGTCCGCAGTCTCTGGTCATCCCTGTACCGTGTCCGCAGTCTCTGGTCATCCCTGTACCGTGTCCGCAGTCTCTGGTCATCCCTGTACCGTGTCCGCAGTCTCTGGTCATCCCTGTACCGTGTCCGCAGTCTCTGGTCATCCCTGTACCGTGTCCGCAGTCTCTGGTCATCCCTGTACCGTGTCCGCAGTCTCTGGTCATCCCTGTACCGTGTCCGCAGTCTCTGGTCATCCCTGTACCGTGTCCGCAGTCTCTGGTCATCCCTGTACCGTGTCCGCAGTCTCTGGTCATCCCTGTACCGTGTCCGCAGTCTCTGGTCATCCCTGTACCGTGTCCGCAGTCTCTGGTCATCCCTGTACCGTGTCCGCAGTCTCTGGTCATCCCTGTACCGTGTCCGCAGTCTCTGGTCATCCCTGTACCGTTAATTAGTTTGCACTACTGTACGAGTTGTTTTTTCTAAACCAAAAGCTCGATATTCAGGTTTCATTGCAGTGTTGGCACTTTGAAAGAAATAAGTTGGTTTTGGGTTGCAGTTTGGGCACTCGGGCTCAAAAAGGTTCGCCATCACTGCTCTATGCGTTTCCACATCCAATCAGATTCCAATATTAACAGAGTGCAGTGCGATGTCTTATACATATATTAGAGAAACTTGTGCATACCATACAAAAATAATACCAAAATCTTCTGCAGAGCTTCACTTAATTTTTGCTTTGTCCGCCATATACTGCCAAAAAGAAGGTGTATGGCAGACAAAGCGAAAAAATAAGTGAAGCTCCGTGGAAGATCATAGATAAGATAATGGGGATGGATTGAGTTACACCGGAAACTGGAGGCTTGAGAGTGCAGGAGGCTATACTAACCCCGGTTAAATGGAAAAGTGCTTTCTGACCTAAATTTCATAGGTCATATAAAGGAGGTGAGAGTATATACATTGCTCAAAAAAAATGAAAGGGACACTTTGAAAACACATCAGATCTCAATGGGGAAAAATATGCTGGATATCCATACTGATACAGACGGGGTAATGTGTTAGGAACATAAGGATGCCCCATCGTTTGATGGAAATGAAAATGATCGACCTACAGAGGACTGAGTTCAAAGACACCCTGAAAATTAAAGTGAAAAAATGAAGCAGCAGGCTAGTCCATTTTGCTGAAATTTCATTTTAGCAACACAAAATGGTCCTCAGTAGTTTGTATGGCCCCCATGTGTTTGTATGCATGCCTGACAACATCGGGGCATTCTCCTAATGAGATGACGGATGGTGTCCTGGGGTATTTCCTCCCAGATCTGGACCAGAGCATCACTGAGCTCCTGGACAGTCTGAGGCGCAACCTGGCGGCGTCAGATGGTCTGAAACATGACATCCCAGAGGTGTTCTTATTGGATTTAGGTTGGGCAAGCTTGGGGGCCGTTCAATGGTATCAATTCCTTCATCCTCCAGGAACTGCCTGCATACTCTCATCACATGAGGCCGGGCATTGTCGTGCATCAGGAGGAACCCAGGATCCACTGCACCAGCGTAGGGTCTGACACTGGGTCCAAGGATTTAATCCCGATACCTAATTGTAGTCAGGGTGCTATTGTCTAGCCTGTAGAGGTCTGTGGGTCCCTCCATGGATATGCCTCCCCAGACCATCACTGACCCACCACCAAAACAGTCATGCTGAACAATGTTGCAGGCAGCTGAACGTCCTCCACGACTTATCCAGACCCTTTCACATCTGTCACGTGCTCAGGGTGAGCCTGTTCTCATCTGTGAAAAGCACAGGGTACCTGTAGTTTACCTGCCAATTCTGGTGTTCAATTCTGGCAGTGAGCACAGAGCCCACTAGAAGAAGTTGGGCCACCCCCATGAAGTCTGTTTCTGATTGTTTGATCACAGACATTCACACCAGTGGTCTGCTGGAGGTCATTTTGTAGGACTCTGGAAGGGCTCATCCGATTCCTCCTTACACAAAGGAGCAGATACCGGTCCTGCTGATGGGTTAAGGACCTTCTATGGCCCTTTCCAGCTCTCGTAGAATAACTGCCTGTCTTCTGGAATCCCCTCCATGCTCTTGAGACTATGCTGGGAGACACAGCAAACCTGGCAATGGCTCGTATTGATGTGCAATCTTGGAGGAGTTGGACTGCCTGTGCAACCTCTGTAGGGTCCAGGTATCCCCTCATGCTACCAGTAGTGACACTGATCCTAGCCAAATGCAAAACTAGTGAAAAACAGTCAGAAAAGATGAGTAGGGAAAAAAATGTCAGTGGCCTCCATCTGTAAAACTATTCCTGTTTTGGGGGTCGTCTCATTGTTACCCATCTAGTGCACCTGTTGTTAATTGTATTAACACCAAAGCAGCTGAAACTGATTAACAACCCCCTCTGCTACTTAACTGACCAGATCAATATCCTAGGAGTTTCATTGACTTGATGCTATACTCTGATTAAAAAGTGTTCCTTTAATTTTTTTTGAGCAGTGTGTGTACAGTGGATATAAAAAGTCTACACACCCCTGTTAAAATGTCAGGTTTGTAAAAAAAATAAGACAAAGATAATTTCAGAACTTTTTCCACCTCTAATATAACCTATATACTGTACAACTCAGTTGAACAACAAACTGAAATTTTTTATGTGGGGGGAAGTAAAAATTAAAAAACTAAAATAATACGGTTGCATAAGTGTGCGCACCCTTACACTAATCCTTTTTTGAAGCACGTTTTGATGGGATTCCTGCGCTCAGTCTTTTTGGGGAGGAGTCTATCAGCATGGCACATCTTGACTTGGCAATTTTTGCCCGCTCTTCCTTGCATAAACACTCCAAATCTGTCAGATTGCGAGGGCATCTCCTGTGCACAGCCCTCTTCAGATCACCCCACAGATTTTCTATCAGATTCAGGTCTGGGCTCTGGCTGGGCCATTCCAAACTTTCATCTTCTTCTAGTGAAGCCATTCCTTTGTTGATTTGGATGTATGCATTGGGTCGTTGTCATGCTGAAAGATGAAGTTCCTCTTCATGTCAGCTTTCTAGCAGAAGCCTGCAGGGTTTGTGCAAATATTGACTGGTATTTTGGAACGGTTCATAATTCCCTCTACCTTGACTGAGACCCCAGTTCCTGCTGAAGAAAAACCGTGCTAAGCATGATGCTGCCACCACCATGCTTCACGGTGGGTATGGTGTTCTTTTGGTGATGTGCATTGTTTTTTGCACCAAACATATCTTTTGAAATTATGGCCAAAAAGTTTAACTTTGGTTTCATCAGACCATAACACAGTTTCCCAAATGCATTTGGCAGACTTCAGATGAGTTTTTGCCAAGTTTAGCCGGCTTGGATGTTTTTCTTCATAAGAAAAGGCTTCCATCTTGCCACTCTACCCCATAGCCCAGACATATGAAGAATACGAGAGATTGTTGTCACATGTACCACATAGCCAGTACTTGCCAGATATTCCCGCTGCTCCTTTAATGTTGCTGTAGGCCTCTTGGCAGCCTCCCAGACCAGTTTTCTTCTTGTCTTTTCATCAATTTTGGAGGGACGTCCAGTTCTTGGTGATGTCACTGATGTGCCATATTTACTCCACTTGATGACTGTCTTCACTGTGTTCCATGGTACTTTAGAAGCTAAGAAAATGTCAGGAAAGACCTACTAGAACAGCTGAACTTTATTTGGGGTTAATCAGAGGCATTTTAAATGATGGCGGATGTGTACTGACTCCTATTTAACATGATTTTGAATGTGATTGCTTAATTCTGAACACAGCTACATCCCCAGTTATAAGAGGGTGTGTACACTTATGCAACCACATTATTTTAGTTTTGTTTACTTCCACCCCTAAAAGATTTCAGTTTATTTTTCGATTGGGTTGAACAGTTTATAGGTCACATTAAAGGTGGAAAAAGTTCTGAAATTTTTTTCTTTTTTCTTTTTTTTTTTTTTTTTTTACATCACAGAAACCTGACATTTTAACAGGGGTGTGTAAACTTTTTATATCCACTGTATGTTGGTGAAGCATGAACACTGATTGAAAGCAAAATTTGCACACTTCAACCATTGGATGGGAGGACAACCACACACAATAGACAATTTTTTGCAAATAAATATATTCATTTAAAGCAGTGGTTCTCAACCTTTCTAACGCTGCGACCCCTTAATACAGTTCCTCATGTTGTGGTGACCCCCAACCATAAAATTATTTTCGTTGCTACTTCAGAACTGTAATTTTGCAGTGGGAGGAATAGTGCCCCATCATTGGTATCAGTGGGAGGACTAGTGTCCCATCGTTGGTATCAGTGGGAGGAATAGTGCCCCATCATTGGTGTCAGTGGGAGGAATAGTGTCCCATCGTTGGTATCAGTGGGAGGAATAGTGTCCCGCCATTGGTGTCAGTGGGAGGAATAGTGCCCCATCATTGGTATCAGTGGGAGGACTAGCGCCCCATCACTGATGTCAGTGGGAGGAATAGTGCCCCATCGTTGGTATCAGTGGGAGGAATAGTGTCCCATCGTTGGTATCAGTGGGAGGAATAGTGCCCCATCGTTGGTATCAGTGGGAGGAATAGTGTCCCGCCATTGGTGTCAGTGGGAGGAATAGTGCCCCATCATTGGTATCAGTGGGAGGACTAGCGCCCCATCACTGATGTCAGTGGGAGGAATAGTGTCCCATCGTTGGTATCAGTGGGAGGAATAGCGCCCCATCGTTGGTGTCAGTGGGAGGAATAGTGCCCCATCATTGGTATCAGTGGGAGGAATAGTGCCCCATCATTGGTGTCAGTGGGAGGAATAGTGCCCCATCATTGGTGTCAGTGGGGGGAATAGTGCTCCATCATTGGTGTCAGTGGGAGGAATAGTGTCCCATCATTGGTGTCAGTGGGGGGAGGAATAGTGCCCCATCATTGGTATCAGTGGGAGGAATAGTGCCCCATCATTGGTGTCAGTGGGAGGAATAGTGTCCCATCATTGGTGTCAGTGGGAGGAATAGTGTCCCATCATTGGTGTCAGTGGGAGGAATAGTGTCCCATCATTGGTATCAGTGGGAGGAATAGTGCCCCATCATTGGTATCAGTGGGAGGAATAGTGCCCCATCGTTGGTGTCAGTGGGGGGAGGATATAGTGCCTATCATTGGTGTCAGTGGGGGGAGGAATAGTGCCCCATCGTTGGTGTCAGTGGGGGGAGGAATAGTGCCCCATCGTTGGTGTCAGTGGGGGGAGGAATAGTGCCCCATCGTTGGTGTCAGTGGGGGGAGGAATAGTGCCCCATCGTTGGTGTCAGTGGGGGGAGGAATAGTGCCCCATCGTTGGTGTCAGTGGGGGAGGAATAGTGCCCCATCGTTGGTGTCAGTGGGGGGGAGGAATAGTGCCCCATCGTTGGTGTCAGTGGGGGGTGGAATTAGGGGGGAGTGGGGGGGAATAGTGCCCCATCGTTGGTGTCAGTGGGGGGAGGAATAGTGCCCCATCGTTGGTGTCAGTGGGGGGAGGAATAGTGCCCCATCGTTGGTGTCAGTGGGGGGGAGGAATAGTGCCCCATCGTTGGTGTCAGTGGGGGGAGGAATAGTGCCCCATCGTTGGTGTCAGTGGGGGGAGGAATAGTGCCCCATCGTTGGTGTCAGTGGGGGGAGGAATAGTGCCCCATCGTTGGTGTCAGTGGGGGAGGAATAGTGCCCCATCGTTGGTGTCAGTGGGGGGAGGAATAGTGCCCCATCGTTGGTGTCAGTGGGGGGAGGAATAGTGCCCCATCGTTGGTGTCAGTGGGGGGAGGAATAGTGCCCCATCGTTGGTGTCAGTGGGGGGAGGAATAGTGCCCCATCGTTGGTGTCAGTGGGGGGAGGAATAGTGCCCCATCGTTGGTGTCAGTGGGGGGAGGAATAGTGCCCATCGTTGGTGTCAGTGGGGGGGGGAATAGTGCCCCATCGTTGGTGTCAGTGGGGGGAGGAATAGTGCCCCATCGTTGGTGTCAGTGGGGGGAGGAATAGTGCCCCATCGTTGGTGTCAGTGGGGGAGGGAATAGTGCCCCATCGTTGGTGTCAGTGGGGGGAGGGAATAGTGCCCCATCGTTTGGTGTCAGTGGGGGGGGGAGGAATAGTGCCCCATCGTTTAGTCAGGGGGGGAGGAATAGTGCCCCATCGTTGGTGTCAGTGGGGGGAGGAATAGTGCCCCATCGTTGGTGTCAGTGGGGGGAGGAATAGTGCCCCATCGTTGGTGTCAGTGGGGGGAGGAATAGTGCCCCATCGTTGGTGTCAGTGGGGGGAGGAATAGTGCCCCATCGTTGGTGACAGTGGGGGGAGGAATAGTGCCCCATCGTTGGTGTCAGTGGGGGGGGAGGAATAGTGCCCCATCGTTGGTGTCAGTGGGGGAGGAATAGTGCCCCATCGTTGGTGTCAGTGGGGGGAGGAATAGTGCCCCATCGTTGGTGTCAGTGGGGGGAGGAATAGTGCCCCCCCATCGTTGGTGTCAGTGGGAAGGGGGGGAGGAATAGTGCCCCCATCGTTGGTGTCAGTGGGGGGAGGAATAGTGCCCCATCGTTGGTGTCAGTGGGGGGGAGGAATAGTGCCCCATCGTTGGTGTCAGTGGGGGGAGGAATAGTGCCCCATCGTTGGTGTCAGTGGGGGGAGGAATAGTGCCCCATCGTTGGTGTCAGTGGGGGGAGGAATAGTGCCCCATCGTTGGTGTCAGTGGGGGGAGGAATAGTGCCCCATCGTGTGGTGGTGTCAGTGGGGGGAGGAATAGTGCCCCATCGTTGGTGTCAGTGGGGGGAGGAATAGTGCCCCATCGTTGGTGTCAGTGGGGGGAGGAATAGTGCCCCATCGTTGGTGTCAGTGGGGGGAGGAATAGTGCCCCATCGTTGGTGTCAGTGGGGGGAGGATAGTGCCCCATCGTTGGTGTCAGTGGGGGAGGAATAGTGCCCCATCGTTGGTGTCAGTGGGGGGAGGAATAGTGCCCCATCGTTGGTGTCAGGGGGGAGGAATAGTGCCCCCCATCGTTGGTGTCAGTGGGGGGAGGAATAGTGCCCCCATCGTTGGTGTCAGTGGGGGGAGGAATAGTGCCCCATCGTTGGTGTCAGTGGGGGAGAGGAATAGTGCCCCATCGTTGGTGTCAGTGGGGGGAGGAATAGTGCCCCATCGTTGGTGTCAGTGGGGGGAGGAATAGTGCCCCATCGTTGGTGTCAGTGGGGGGAGGAATAGTGCCCCATCGTTGGTGTCAGTGGGGGGAGGAATAGTGCCCCATCGTTGGTGTCAGTGGGGGGAGGAATAGTGCCCCATCGTTGGTGTCAGTGGGGGGAGGAATAGTGCCCCATCGTTGGTGTCATTGGTATTAGTGACACAAATGATGGGGCACTATTCCTCCCACTGACACCAATGATACTTACCTTGCTGACCCCTGCTCCAGCCTGGGCTCGCTCTCTCCCTCTCCCATCTACAGCCTGCAGAAGCAAAATTTGCACTTACCTGTCAGCTGTCTTCCTTCTCTGGCCTCTCTCCTCTTCACTCGGTCCTGCAGCTCCCTCGATCTTCTTCGATCTGCGCGCTCTGCCGCTCGGCTCCTCCTCTCCAAGCTCCACCTCCTCGCCGGTGATTGGCCACCTGTGTGCCTCTCCTGAGCTACAGTTCCGGTGGCCAATCAGCGGCGAGGAGGCGGAGCTGTTGAGTGATCCCGGAGGTGTGGCCAGGTTACAGGGGCAGCATATCATCCCGCCCACAGATCGCGAGACAGAGCAGCGGTGTCTCGGTTCCTAAGACCATCGGAAATATGTGTTTTTCGATGGTCTTAGGCGACCCCTGGGAAATGGTCGTTCGACCCCCAAAGGGTCGCGACCCCCCAGGTTGAGAACCGCTGATTTAAAGGAATCATTTATAAGTATACATGACCGCACTGCACTCTAATATTGTGCTGGTTTGTTGTGGTTGGATGGAAGCAGAGGGGTAGATTACTAAACCTGGAGCGTTCAGAATCTGGTGCAGCTGTGCATGGTAGCCAATCCGCTTCTAAGTTCAGCTTGTTCAATTAAGCCAGCCTTTTTTAACCAGTGTGCCTTCAAGTTTCTTCAGGGGTGCTTTGGTAAAATGCCTAAAAATTACCCAAAAATTGTATGCAAGCCAGCAGGTGGATCAAGCCTGCCTTTTAGTTACACAAAGCCATAGATTTTCATTGTGCACCATTACAACCTTGATGCCGCTAACAACCAATGACTGCTTGTTCAATTTACCTTTGACAATAAAACCTGAAAGCTGATTGGTTTCTGTGCACAGCTGCACTAGATTTTGCCCTTTCCAGTTTTAGTAAATGACCCCCAGAGTGTCTGTATGTTATGCCTGGGTGGGGTGTGAAGTTTGCTGTGAGATTCTCGGTTTGTCTGGGATGTTAAAGAATCAGTGGCGGGAACTATGTGTACATGACTATGAATGCCAGAGGTAGGGGGCGGGGCATGCCGGGAGTGGTGGCGTTTCCTCCTTTAACAGATGTTTTTCTCTTTGCAGCAATTATATCAGATCCTGACAGATTATGACATTCGATATTACATGTACGAGCTACTAAAGGTGAGAGTCTGGCATCTTGTCTCCATTTTCTCCATATTGGTAGCATCTTTCCTTAGAGGGTAACTGGGGGGGATTCAGCATGACAGACAGGAGATGGTGTAACTGAAGAATTTCTGCCCGGATTTATAGTGACCAGGGGGTCTGGCATGGCAGAGGGGTGATGGTGGTCTCTTCTTAGATTTATAGTGACTGCGCTTTGGCCTGTGTCTCCTGTCATGATTGAAAGCTGTTTGTTTTGTTATCAGGCTCTGGATTACTGTCACAGCCAGGGGGTGATGCACAGAGACGTCAAACCGCATAACGTCATGATTGATCACCAGCAGAAGAAGGTAGTCTGAGCCCCCTTTCATCCTCCTCTCCCTCTATTGCTATATAATGTACACCCCAATGTTCACCCCTTGCTCCCTGATATCCACTTCTATCCTCCTTTCCCTTCATTGCTGTATAATGAATGAACCCTCTATTTTCACCTCTTCCTCCCTGTTCTCCACTACTCCCCCATCTCACTCCATCACTGTATAATGTACCCCCTCCTTCCTACCTGATCTCCACCACTAACCCCCCCCTTCCCAATTGCTGCATAATGTGCTTCCATTCTCCTCTCCCTCCATCACTGTATAATGAAATCCCAACCCCCTCTCTCCCCCCCCCCCCCCCGTCTCTTCACACCACTCCCCACCCCCATCCTCATCTCTCCATAGCTGTATAATCTCTCCCCCCCTCCTCTTCCTCATAAAAGTATGATGACAGCCCCCCACCCCCCCATTCTTTGCCCCTTCCCCCATTATGATCTCTCCCTCTATCATTGTATCATGTAACCTCTCAATCTTCATCCCTTCCTCTATGATCTCCTTTCCACTCCCCTCCCATATCCTCTTCTCCCTCCATCGCTGTATAGCGAGCACTCAATTTTTTGCCTCTTCCTCCTATATCTCCCCTCCCCCATCCTCCTCTCCCTCCATTCCTGTATATTGAACCCCCAAATCTTCACCCCCATGATCTCCACTTGCTTCCCCCTCCATTGCTGTATAATAAACCCTCCAATATTTACCTCTTCCTTCATGTTTTGCACTCCCCTCACCCATCATCCTATCGCTCCATTGCTGTATGATGTACCCTTGTTCCTTGCGCCCATTCTCCTCTCCCTCCATCCTGAATAATGTATCCCCCATTCCTCACTCCCATCCTCCTCCCTCCATCGCTGTATAGCGTTGTCCCTCTGTCTTTTCCATATGCAGTGCAACATTTACTTTTTCTTTTGCAGTTGCGACTGATAGATTGGGGATTGGCAGAGTTTTATCACCCAGCACAGGAGTACAATGTGCGTGTTGCCTCCCGATATTTCAAGGGGCCGGAGTTGTTGGTGGATTACCAGGTAAGCAGTCTGTGAATGACTCTTTATTGGCGTTATTTATATCTAAAAGTCCTAAGAATCAGTCACTTATATTACAGATGAATGGGCCCCAACTACATGTGCCGGCACGGGACTGTACTGCATTTCATTTGTGATATTCTTTTTGCTGCCTAACATAGGCTTATGGTTATGCCTCTCTTTTGACGCACACTGTGCTCGCTGCATTGTATACATGTGATATTTCATACCTTCGGTATAATTTTTCGGAATTCCCCTCTATGGGATAGAACCTATATGGTCATGACACATGTCTTTATATTCATTACATGTGACACTATATACCTATGGTATAATTTTTGTGTACACCTCCTTTGGGAAGTGTTAACCTATGTGCCAGTGCTACAAAGACTTTAGACCTTAGTGGTCATTGTCTTTGCAGCACATTTATTCAGACCGGTCTTGGTGTTATTTTATATGGTTTTAGGTCTGTGTGTATTGTCTCATACTGAGGTGATGGTAAACCAGGGCGATTGCCCATATGTCTAATATTTATATGTAATAAAGCATAATTTTTGGAAATTTTTCTGAGTATCACATTCTGTTCATAATGTAGCCGCTTTTCTGTGAATTCCTTTTCACAAACCCTTCTTTTTTGTATGCCTCTTTGGGCTACTGAATGGAAGCCATATATTGGGTGATACAGTAATTTATTTTGTAACCTCTAAAAAAACTATCTTTAGTCAATGTGAATGACTCTTCCCCTGTACTGCTCCCCCTCCAAGCTCACGTTGATCATCTTTTCCCTCTTCTCCAGATGTATGATTACAGTCTGGACATGTGGAGTCTCGGCTGCATGTTAGCCAGCATGATCTTCCGCAAGGAGCCATTTTTCCACGGTCAGGACAACTACGACCAGGTGAGCTTCTTCATGTGGAAAGAGAGGAGAAAGATATATAGGGAAGGCGTTTAATAGGCTTCCTGATCATGTAATCACTTATATTGGATGTCCCAATGATAATGTGACCAGGCACCCATCCTATTGGCTACCAGTTGTCTGAGCAAACTGTCGATGATAATGCAGTCACAGTGCTGGAAAAAGTGAACTGAGCATGCTCCCAGCACGAAGCAATGACATTTATGTGGCCGTACAGAATAAAGCTCATATCTCTGCTGCAATGTACATCTGTCTGGATGGCAGGGAAGGGTTTAATGTTCATATCTAGTGATGGGGAGATGTGTTCCCATAGGGAATTGAGACCCCCCCCCCCAGCCTATCTGTTTGTTTTGTCAGTCTACAACTGACAGACTGGAGGGAAATCTATATGGGCCAACCTTTTAGTATGTATGTACTGTCTATTGCGGTCAGACTGTAAGAGAGCTGCCCCTAGTCAAATCGGAGATTAGATTGGAGGGCTGCAATAAGTTCCACTGTCATTCAGGTGGGGCCCCCCTTTCTACAATAGCTCCTTTTGTCATCAGGTGGGCCTGCTCTGTCTGCTGTAGGCTCCTTCTGTCATCAGGTGGGCCTCCTCTGTCTTTTGATAACACCCACATGGTCAGATGGAGCTTATCAAAAGACAGAGGAGGCCCACCTGAACAATGGAAGGAGCCTATTGCAGGCAAGTTCTACATGGGTGTTATCTGTCTGTGATGGGCTCCTTCTGATTTAGATGAGGACTAAGTGTCCGGTGATTATCTGCTCCTGTCCTAATTAATCTTGCTGGCTAGCTCAGGAATGTGCGCACATAAAGAAACTCACACTGACACGTTTGGTCTGTGAAAACTTCTCTAATTTATTGAAATTAAAAAGTGAGTTTATATGTGCAAAATGATGCGAACATCACGTGAGACCAGCATAAGCATTATATTAGTCTTTGATTGGTCACTCTACACAAAAACAACCTTCTTCAGAGTATAGGCGTAATCTTGGCCGAGGTCTTATCTATAGAAAGAAAAATATTCCTTTGTCTTCAAGTTGGTTCGATGGGAGGGGTTGTTATTCATACAAAGCATTTAGAAATATAAAAATATAAAAGTAGATATATATAGAAAAATGTATATATTCAACAAGAGACCAAATAGGCATTTTACCATATCCATCACACTTCCATTGTTCAGACAGGCCTCCTCTGTTTGTTATAGGCTCCTCCATTGTCGAGAGGGCCTCCCCTGTCTTGCTCTGACTTCCCTTTTGTATTTCTGCAGCTGGTCCGTATTGCCAAGGTCCTGGGTACAGATGATCTGTACAATTACCTAAAGAAGTACCATATAGAGTTGGATCCCCACTTTAATGATATTCTGGGACAGTAAGTATGAATCACCAGTTCTGCCACCAGCACAGTGACCATTCCCATCAATCACTGTCTGCTCTCCCCCCCCCCCCCCCCCCCCCCCAGACACTCGCGGAAACGTTGGGAGAACTTCCTGCACAGCGAGAACCGGCATCTGGTGAGCGCAGAGGCTCTAGACATTTTGGATAAATTACTGCGCTACGACCATCAGCAGAGACTGACCGCCAGAGAAGCCATGGAGCACCCCTATTTCTGTAAGTCAACCCAATAATCTGTGTTATCTTTGCTTCTGTGAATATATCACTTTATCTCCTTCCTGATTTTGCATCTGAATGAACTGTTGTGTCTTGCTCTGTCAGTACTGTTTCCAGACTGTTCAGGGTGTACGAGGTCTGCAGAGATCCAGATATCTCAGTAATGCCATCTAGAAAGAGCAGGTTCTGATTCATAAGCGCCTTTATAGACTTTTATGGGGCTGGTGATGGGATGTGGGTGGGGGGGTTCTTTATAGGTCTAGGGGAGCTTACTGCATAGGTGGGAACAGAACTGCACACGGGTCTGGAGGTGCTCAGGGGAGGGTACTATAGAGGTATGTGGGGAGTTACTGCACAGGTGGGGTCAGAGCTGCACACATACAACTTATAGACTTGTATAGAACCAGAGATGTTCCCGGGAGGGCACTAGTCTACACAGGTGAAGTCAGAGCGGCACAGAACCTTCCTACAGACTTGTACGGGGGTGGAGATTCTATAGGCCAGGGCTGTACAAAAGCTTCATATAGACATGTGTAGGGTGTAGATGCTTAGGGTAGAGTACTACAGAAGTCTGCAGGGCAATTACTAAATGGGTCCAAAGCTGGCAGGAATCTCCATATAGACTTTTATGGGGCTGGATATCTTTGGGGGAGGGTACTATAGAAGCCTGTAGGGAGATACTGTATGGGTGGGACCATAACTGCACAAAAGCTCCCTATAGACTTGTATGGGGCTATAGATGCCTGTGGGAGCTTTCTATAGAAGTCTGTGAGTAGCTGCTGCAAAAGTGGGGCCAGAGCTGCAAAGAAGCTATACATAGACTTGTAGGGCTGGAGACACTTTGGGGGCTGGAGACACTTTGGGGGGGGGGGGGGGGGGGGGGGTACTTTAGAAGTCTGCGGGGAACTACTGTACAGGCAGGACCAGAGCTGCAAACAAGCTCTAAGATGGATCTGTATGATGTTGGAAATACTTGGGGAAGGGTTCTATAGAAGTCTGCTGAGAACTGCTGCATTGGTGGTGTAATTGGTTGGTCCCTGTGTAGTTCAAGTCAGCGCGGTTAAGGCCATGCTCTCATTAGTTGGAGGACCCCACTTGCATAACTTGATGGGCAACCTGTTCAAATACACTTACCTGCACTCAGCGTTCTTACAGACACAGAGGACTAAACCATAAGAACTGTCAGTGCCCTTTCATCACTGATTTCCCAGTGCATCCTGGGACATGCAGTCCACCAAGGCATACTGAATATACAAAGAATATGATGTCAACTGCCTCCATGATCTCTCTAATGTTCAGTTCAGTTGAAGATCTCACGGAATGACGGCTCTATAAGTTGTCTCCTAAGTTTTGATAAATTTCCCCTATGGCGTGATACGGATATTCCATATGTAGCCAGTGTCAGAAAAAACTCAGCAGGCTCTTTAATATCTAATCTCTGTGTCCTCCCATCCCAAACAAAAGGTGGACATCCCAAACACCCATCATAAGGGAAGTGTCTCGGTATATGCAGTGCAGTGAGGAATACAAAGACCTGTACATTGGTGTGATGAGGTAACCTATCCACAAATAACCCAACATAGGACACGTTTTACAGGTCAGGAGTGAAAGAGGCCATCTATGTCACACTGGAACCTCCATCATTGAAAGGGGGTGGGGGCGTCCAACACCATCTGTCTACCACATATAATGCTGTTTTATGATCTTTACCTCTGAGATCTGGGAACGATTCACACCTTCAGGCGTATATACACATCCAGACTTCCTGACCCCAAAAATGGGATGATGGAACTAGTAAAAGGGGGTTTCTTCCACCTCCCATCCTGGCCTTGGACAATCAGCATCTGCCTTGTCGTATTCCACAGTTGTTGAGTGACTGTACAGTGGGGATCGAAAGTACCCCAGCTAAAATTTTGTATTAATGTGCATAAAGAAGCCAAGGAAAGATGGAAAAATCTCCAAAAAGGCATAAAATTACAGATTAGACATTCTTATAATATGTCAACAAAAGTTAGATTTTATTTCCATCATTTACACTTTCAAAATAACAGAAAACAAAAAAATGGCGTCTGCAAAAGTTTGGGCCCCCTGCAGAATTTATAGCATGCACTGCCCCCTTTGCCAAGCTGAGACCTGCCAGTGTCATGGATTGTTCTCAATCATTGTCTGGGAAGACCAGGTGATGTCAATCTCAAAGGTTTTTAAATGCCCAGACTCATCTGACCTTGCCCCAACAATCAGCACCATGGGTTCTTCTAAGCAGTTGTCTAGAAAACTGAAACTGAAAATAGTTGACGCTCACAAAGCTGGAGAAGGCTATAAGAAGATAGCAAAGCATTTTCAGATGTCAATATCCTCTGTTCGGAATGTAATTAAGAAATGGCAGTCATCAGGAACAGTGGAAGTTAAAGCAAGATCTGGAAGACCAAGAAAAATATCAGACAGAACAGCTCGCAGGATTGTGAGAAAAACAATTCAAAACCCACGTTTGACTGCACGATCCCTCCAGAAAGATCTGGCAGACACTGGAGTTGTGGTACACTATTCCACTATAAAGAGATACTTGTACAAATATGGTCTTCATGGAAGAGTCATCAGAAGAAAACCTCTACTACGTCCTCACCAAAAAAATCATCGTTTGAACTTTGCAAATGAACATATAGACAAGCCTGATGCATTTTTGAAACAAGTTCTGTGGACCGATGAGGTTAAAATTTAACTTTTTGGCCGGAATGAGCAAAGGTACGTTTGGAGAAGAAGGGGCACAGAATTTAATGAAAAGAACCTCTGTCCAACTGTTAAGCATGGGGTTGGATCAATCATGCTTTGGGGTTGTGTTGCAGCCAGTGGCACAGGGAACATCTCACGAGTAGAAGGAAAAATGGATTCAATAAAATTTCAGCAAATGTCGGATGGTAACTTGATGCCATCTGTGAAAAAGCAGAAGTTAAAGAGAGGATGGCTTCTACAAATGGATAATGATCCTAAACACGCCTCAAAATCCACGGGGGATTACATCAAGAGGCGTAAACTGAAGGTTTTGCCATGGCCTTCACAATCTCCTGACCTCAACATAACTGAAAATCTATGGATAGACCTTAAAAGAGCAGTGCGTGACAGACAGCCCAGAAATCTCAAAGAACTGGAAGACTTTTGTAAGGAAGAATGGGGAAAGATACCTCAAACAAGAATTGAAAGTCTCTTGGCTGGCTACAAAAAGCGTTTACAAGCTGTGATACTTGCCAAAGGGGGGCAGTACAAGATATTAACTCTGCAGGGTGCCCAAACTTTTGCAGACACCATTTTTTTGTTTTCTGTTATTTTGAAAGTGTAAATGATGGAAATAAAATCTAACTTTTGTTGACATATTATAAGAATGTCTAATCTGTAATTTGATGCCTTTTAGAGATTTTTCCATCTTTCCTTGGCTTCTTTATGCACATTAATACACATTTTTAGCTGGGGTGCCCAAACTTTCGATCCCCACTGTATCTGTGCTACCTGTGTGGATTTAAATGTCAAAGTGGCTCAGTATTCTTTATTTCTTCCATTCATTTCCAGTTGAAAGCTATTCTTTGTAGATTAATTTCTCATCTCTCCCTCCTCAGATCCAGTAGTAAAGGAGCAGCAGGCTCAAACAGACCCAAATCTGCTCCCTGGCAACATGTCAACAGCTCGATGAGGACTGGGCATAGTGGGTTAGTATCTGCTCATTCCTCAATCAGGGTTTGCTTGTAAACACTTGAATATTGCCTGTCCTGTGGAGATTATATATATATATATATATATATATATATATATACTGTATATATATATATTTTTTTTTTTTTTTTTTTTTTTATTTGTCATTGTATGCTAGAAAACCAGGATCTTGGACGCAAAACCCAGCTTTCTGTCACTGCGGCCCATGTGTGGATAGTTGAATTGCCATCTGGGTGGGCTTGGGCTCCTTCCTCGTCATTCACCATCCTTTCTCCTTCTCTGCAGGATGCCGCTGCCGTTTCCACCTAGTTTCCGTGAGCAGTACCAGGAGAGGGCTCCAGAACATTGAATGTGGACATTGTGTGTGACCGATCCCAGCGGCTCCTGAATCCCAGTACCCTTTCCTTTACTGAGACACTGCAATGGACAGGCTGTCTGAGCCCCCCAACCAGAGTGAAACAGCCATGTGTAAACCCAGTGGGGGCCCAAGTCTCAGCCCTTCCCCCGCCCTTCCTCCATCCGAGGACAGGAAGCTTCTCTGTACCTTGATTTAACCCTCTGCCTTCTGGACGGAGTTCCTTGTAGGGTTGTCAGGTCTTACCAGGGTGAGCTGAGCCTATGACGGGCCCAGGTAGGTGCCCTTCCCCTGGGTGGGTAGTCCACTTACTAGTTGTGCTGTTACAGGGTACACCCACCTTTCTTCAAGCAGCAATATCCCCTCCAGTGTTGCTTTTTCTTTCTTTCTTTTTTTTTTTTTTTTTTTTTTTGTATGACCAATATCCAGGGAAGTTTTAAGTTATGATGCCAAGATTCCGAGCTCTGGGCCATTACCAGTCTTAATTTTGTGTTTCTGAGTGCGGCTGTGTCACTGCGAGCGGAGGGGATTTGGGGACACCGAGGCCCTGATTGGAGGTTTGGATATGGAGACACGGGGCATTGTGTTCGAGGGGCTTACTGTAGCTATATGTCACCCCCTATCTATGTCACATGACATCCCCCCTCCAGTGACACGTTCAGTGTTTGTTCTTTAGCTACCTCGGAGACCGGCCCCGCGGTGATCTGCTGTCTGTGCAATGCAAGCTACGTAATACAATCCTCCAGGTGGATGAGAGCGATTTCATGGAGGGCACATTGTGCGGTGCCGGCGGACTCTTCCTGTGGAACTGTCGGAATTCAGTGTTATGTGGGGCTTCCGGCTCTCCTCCTTAGATGTCTGCAGTATAGATGCCCGTGCTCGGCTGGCTGGCCTGGTACGGCGTGTTTGTGGGGGGCGGGTGGGGGGGTCAGCTTCGTGTTCCCCGCTCACGGTCTTGTTGCTGTTACACATAACACGAGCGCCGTGTTCTGTCTCGGCCGTGTTTTCTCCTCCGTTTCTCAGGTGGGTCGGTGGGACCCATTGTCTCTCTTCCCCCTCCAGTGCCCAGCAGGGTGAGGTGCGAGGTACAGACTGGCCCTTGCCTGACTGCTCTGCCACCCACTTGGAATCCAGTCTATAAATACCTCTGTTCAGCATCTCAGTGTCTGTCTCCTTCACTGTTGTGTGTATGTTGTACAGGCGCTGGAAGAGATGAGAGCTGTGTATGCATGAGTTCTATAGGCCCAGTGCACCTTTTTTCTGGGGTGGTGGGTGGGTGTGTGTGTTTGTGTGCATGCCCACCTATTAAGTGTTCTCTGGGATGGGGGGCACATGCCAGTTGTTCCCTGCTCCAGGGTGCTGTATTGTATGCACCCCTATGTGTACATACATAGCAAGGGGACAGGGATGTGCACATATCAAATTTTCCCTTGTCATGGGGCTGTGAGTGTGTATGCCAAGTGTCCTCAGGTCTGAGTATGTGTAAGCCATGTATGCACTGGTCCAAAGTGATGAGTAAGTGTTGTCCAGGTGCCTGGTGAGAGAAGGACTTTATGCACACAGAGGTGGATGAGTCTGGTGCTCCCTGGGGCATGCAATAGAGGTTCCCCCTGAATTTTCCTCATCCTCTGTGACAGGCAGTGTTGAGAAATCTCTTCACTAGGACACAGCAGGAAGTGAGCGGAACTCGCCGCTTAGACAATTGTCCCTAGCAGGGTTCTCCTTATTCTTGTTCTTTGGGTTTCCCATCACTTTCAGTCCTGATAAGAGTGTAATATTTACAATGGTGACAAATGGGTGAATTGCCACATCAGGGGCCCAGACCAATCCTTCCTGCCCTGTTCATCCACAATAACATTTCTGGTTTTCTTCTACTTTAAGCAAAGATTCACACATATCCCTGACCATAGGAAGAAAACTGTTGGATGTCATGTCATGGCTCAGACATAAGGGTGAATTACTTTTGCTGAGACAACCAGCGATAGAGCACGTGTTAATCAAACAAGGAGTGAGGGGATTACTGGCTGATCTGTAAAAATGACCTTCCGGTTTGGATATCAGTGAAATTAATTTAACTTGCCATAAACTTGGTTTTTCTGTACAATTCCCTTTTGATCTATTGCCCTTGATAGGTGCAGATTGATTGGGTAGAGTAGGTACATCTTTATTTGTAAATCTAAAGTTGATTGTACAGTGTATGGTGCTCTTTAGGAAGCTTATGCAATCAGATTGTGTGTGTTGTGGGCAACAAATTGGAGGCTGCTATTAGAGACAAATATCTGCTTTCCCCTGAGCTGCACCAGCTCCAGTTACATTTAAGAATTTCCTGTTGCAGAGATATGAAGAGAATAATATTCAGTCTTAGGTCACTTAACAGGACACTCAATGAAGTTGGATGAGAAACGATTTAACCTTAAACTGTGTAAGAGATTCTTTGCGGTTAGAGAGGTAAGGATGTGGAATACCCTTCCACAATTGGGGGTGGCAGTGCCAGCAAAAGCAATACAATTCTAGATGAGTATCTTAACACACAACCCTTGATAGATGACAGTCTTTATTCAACCATACCAATTTTGTATGCACCCCTAAAGGTCCCCAGGTCATATGACAAGAGAGCTTACTGCTTTCTGGTTTTACATGAAGCTGCCTACCGGAGGAGATGGCATCCATGTGGGAAATCTCAACATGTCACTCATCTGACATTGACTGCACATTATAGAGAGATTGTTAAATAGTCCCAACAGATTTCTGGCTGGTAGAGGGTGGAGTCTGGACACCCCAGGAGCCCCAGCAGTTGTCGTAATTTATAGGTGTTCTAGGTGGGAGGGGGTGGTGTCTGGACACCCCGGGAGCCCTAGCTGGTGTTTTCCTATCCATACCTGTACTGGGCAGGATCGTGTGAAATCTGGACACCCTGGGAGCCCCAGCAGGAATCTTCCCATTTATACCTGCCCTAGGTGGGACAAGGCAGAGTCTGGACCCTTTCTGTCCATAGGTGTTGTGGGCAGGGAGCAGAGACTAGAACCCAAGGAGATGCCTTCCCATCAATACCTGCCCTTGGTGGGATAGGGCAGAGTCTGGACACTGCTAAAGCCACAGCAGGTACCTTCCCATCGATACCTGTCCTGGGCAGGAAAAGGCAGAGAGTGGAGGCTGCAGCCCAAACAAGTGCTTTTCCATCCATACCTGTCCTGGGTGGAGTCTGGGGCCCTAGCAGGTGCCTCCTTTTTTTTAAATACCTGTCCTGGGTGGGAGAGTGGAGTCTAGACAGTACTTGAACCCTCTCCATCTGGACCGACTGGTCCCTGGCTGCTGTGGTGGGATTGGGTAGGACTCAGCTGAGCCCAGTACTGTATACTAGATTCTTATGGATGGACAAAAGGATTAGTCAGGAGGGTCCCCATATGAGTGAAGGATTTCTGAAGGCTGTGGTGTACAGAGCCCACACAGGACAGTGAGGGGAGCTTGGTGATATTGTATCATTTTCATATTAAAAGCGTAAACTGCAACAACAACAGAATACAGAGCTAGTGTTTATCTGAACACGGAGAAGTATATAGCAATTATCAGAAGGGATATATTAAAGTCCAAGCCCGGGAAAAATTTTTAAAAAAAACACGGTCTCTGCAGTACCTCTTATACACAATCGGATGTTCTTAGTTTTCCACATTTGGATCATTCTCAGCATACAGTGTGTAGGGTGTCATTGACTCAGCCCCTGCGTTTGGTACCCTGAATTCCCTGTGTGATCAGAGGATACCACCAATGTCATCACTGGGGCCTGCACGCCATCAGGAGGAGACCACCATTGGTGTCATCACTGGGGCCTGCGCGCCATCAGGAGGAGACCACCAGTGGTGTGATCACTGACGGCTGCATGCCATCAGGAGACCACCAGTGGTGTGATCAATGGCGGCTGCGTGCCATCAGGAGGACACCACCATTGGTGTCATCCCTGGGGCCTGTGCGCCATCAGGAGGAGACCACCATTGGTGTCATCCCTGGGGCCTGTGCGCCTTCACATTGGTGTCTTCACTGGGGCCTGCGCACCATCAGGAGGAAACCACCATTGGTGTAATCACTGGTAGCTGCCTGCCACCAGGAGGAGACCCAAAGAGGACCCCATGCGTCATGTGATTGGTGTGAAAATGTTTAAAAGCTGCCTCACCGTCTTCAGAAGAGCCCGAGTGTACCACTGACATGCAGCTTACAGAAACCTAAAGATGAAGTATAATCTGCTTGTAGTTAACCTTCCCAGGTCCCCCTCCCCAACACTGATAATGAAATGTTTAAATAAAACCTTTCTGATTTTGTTACATGTGATGTTATCACTGGGTCTCTGCCCTTCTCTATGCAAATGCAGGAAGATCATGGCTGTTGGGAGGCAGGCAGGGCTTCCTGAAAATATTGAGTAACCCTGCTCCAGTACTCCTTTCAAGAGCCCTCAGTCCTGATGAAAGCAGTGAGCTGGCTCTTGAAGGATTTATGCAAGATGCTGGGTTCCAGGAAATGAGGAGGGCTCTATCTAATTTGCTGCAGAAGCTCACAGTGTGCAGTCAAACCAGAGTAAGCAATCTGAGTAGAGTAGAGGTACAACTGGGCAAGGCTGAAGGCCCAAAGGTCAG